TCCTCTCCTCTCCTCTCCTCTCCTCTCCTCTCCTCTCCTCTCCTCTCTTCTCCTCTCCTCTCCTCTCTTCTCCTCTCCTCTCCTCACCCCTCCCTCCCCTCCCCTCCCCCCCTCTCCTCTCCCCCCCCCTCCCCTCCCCTGTTTTCCTTTCCTTTTTTTTTTTTTGGAAAGAGATTACTAATTAACAAGCTTCTGACAATGTATCTGTAGTTAGCAGTAAAGCACATATTCTTAACATTTGTTTGCTTCTATTCTTCCCTTAATTAGGACTGGATTTTTTTCTTTGTCTCTTTTTAAAATATTTTATTTATTTATTTGACAGAGTGAGAAAGAGATAGTGAAAGAGAGAGAGAGCACAAGGTGGGGGGTGGTGTGGTAGTGGCAGGCAGAGGGAGAGGGAGAAGCAAGGTCCCTGCTGAGCAAGGAGCCCATTGCTGGACTCTATCCCGAGACTCTGGGATCATGACCTGAGTCAAAGGCATATGCTTAAGGACTGAGTCACCCAGGTGCCCTAAGATTGTTTCTTTCACTATATTTTGCAAATTTAATTACATCTCAGTGTTGGTCTGCTTTTGTTGATTTTGTTGGGACTTCTCTGTGCCTCATTGACCTGGATGTCTGTTTCATTCCCCAGATTAGGGAAGTTTTCAGCTATTATTTCATCAAATAAATTTCCTGTCTTCTTTTCTATCTCTTCTCCTGGGACTTCTATAATATGAATGTTTGTTGGGGTCCCTGAGTTCTCTAAGTGTATTCTCGTGTTCCATAATTCTTCTTTCTCTCTTTTGTTCAGCTTCATATTTTCCATTATGTTGTCTTCTAGATCACTAATTCATTCCTATTTCTTCCAGCCTGCTGTTCATTGCATCAAGCCTGTTTTCAATCTTGTCTATTACATTCTTCATCTCAGATTGATTCTTTTTAAACTGTTTTATCTCCGTTGTAAGTGTCTTCTTTTCTTTTCTCTAGCCAAGTGATTATCTTTATGATTATTTCTTTGAATTCTCCATCAGGCTCATTACTTATATCTTTTTCGCTTAGATCTCTGACCATGGCCTTACCTTGTTCTTTCATTTGGGATAAAATCTTCTGTCTTTGCATTTTGTCTAAGTCTCTGCCTTATTTTTTGCATTTGAAAAGCCAATTATGTCTCCTGCTTCTGAAAGTAATGGCCTCATGAAGAGGTCATTGAGGTTCCCAGAGCCTGGTGCTTTGGGGGAGTGTCTCAGGTATGTGCTGCATATGCTCTGCTCTTGTGTTTTGGCTGCTCTATCCTTCTGGCCATTTTGCAGAGGATCTCCTTGCCTGTTGTGGGCCATTTTTGGTCCCTCGCCAGAATGTGGCCAGTTTTAACTAGGTATGCTCTGGTCTGCTTGTGAAATGAGACCTGAACTAACTCCACAAGAACTGGGGCCCTGCAGAACTCTGGTCAGGTGACATGATGTGAGCACGATTTTGTGCTTATCTTCTGGGAGATGGGAGGGCTGCTGCTCCAGGACTGAGACAAGCTTGACTGAGAAGGGCAGTCCTGTCAGAGTGCAGGGGGGTGGGGCTTGGTGTTAACACATGCAGCAGCCAGTGTTCCTGCTGTACCGACCTCCTACAGGTGGTTCTGTGTTTATGCTGAGGAGTGGGGGGAGGGAAATGGTGCCAGCCAGCACCTTTGTTCCCAGAAAGGCAGCTCCATGAATGTTGCCTCTTGGGGACAGCCTCTGAGAAGAGTAAATCATCTTCCTGCTGTGTACAACAGGTGCTCTTTAGATCACTATTTTCCCACTGTCTGCCCAAGTACTGTTTTCCTACTTCCTCTCCAGGAGCAGTGTAGTGCCCTCAGGGCTCTATCCCAGCCAAACCCATTGACCTTTAAAGCTCCAGTTGTCAAGCCCTGCTGGTTGCAAAAACTCAGAAAATTTAGCCTCATTTTCCAAGCCAGTGACTTTGGGAAAACATTTTCCTTGCGCAACCATCCCCCTGTTCACTCCTCTCAATCTTGCCCTTCTCTGAGACAATGGCTCCTTATCCCTCCACAGCACCTGGCATCTGTTTCTTCCCTGAACTCCATCTCTGACTTTCTACTGTCTTTGATGTGGCCTCTTTTCTCCCTTTAGTTGTGGAGTTTGTTCTGTTTGTGTTCAGGCCAATTTCTGGGTCATTTAGGATGATTTGATAGTTATCTAGCTGTGTTCATGGGATAAGATGGGCCAAGGGTTTTCTCCTCTGCCACCATCTTCCTCTCCCTCCAAAAGCTTCTTATGTGTTGCTGTTCCCTTTTTCTCACAAGTCTCTGGAAATAGGGTAAGTCCTTGTTCCTTCTTTTAGCTTCCAGGTGATTCTTCCCACTTCCTCCCTTCCAACTCCAGATTTCCTGTCATCAGACTCTAACACTCAACTATAAACACTGAGCTATACTTCACTGCTGCAATCATACCTACCCTGATTGACATTCCTCATTTCCAATGATTAGCTCTTCTCACTTGTTCAAACAATACTCCTTCCTGTCTTGAATCATGGTTATTTTTAGTATAACCAGAAATGAAATCTCAAACTCCACAAGTCCAAAACTTAACTCTTATAGACTGCCTTACCCAGTTTTTCTCCTCTCAATTTCTTTCTTCTCATATGACACTTCTAATCATTCAGGAAATTACATTAGTCTTCAAAACATCTTTAGGCAGTCTTTCAATTAACTGGTCTATTTTCTGTGCAACTTCCAATTTTTCTGGTGGCATTTGAACTTGCAACTCAGAGGCTCCTACCTACATCCCGGGCTCCTTGTGACTGCATTCTAGATTACACCTTCTTCCACTCTTCTATCCCTGGAGGAAGTCACATTCCCTTTACATTAAACAATATATAAACATAGTGTATTGCTATCCATTTCTCCCACCCTCTCTTCCTGTGGTCTCCTCACCATTATGGATTTATATATTTATGTATTGAATATTATTTGAGTGGGATGGAAATGAGACAAAATAAGAATTAGATAAATATGGTTCCTTGTTCTACTCTCTTGAACCAGAAATCCCATATCATCAATATGGCCTCTTGTCTTTTAAAAGTCTTTAATCTTTAATGGACACATGAAAAAGTATTCATCATCATTAGCCATCAGGGAAATTCAAATCAAAACTCCATTGAGATACCAGCTTACACCAGTTAGAATGGCAAAAATTGACAAGGCAAGAAACAACAAATGTTGGAGAAGTTGTGGAGAAAGGGAAACCCTCTTACACTGTTGCTGGGAATGCAAGTTAGTGTAGCCACTTTGGAAAACAGTGTGGAGGTTCCTCAAAAAATTAAAAATAGAGCTACCCTATGACCCAACAATTGCACTAGTCGGTGTTTACCCCAAAGATACAGATGTAGTGAAAAGGGCCATATGCACGCCCAATGTTCATAGCAGTGATGTCCACAATAGTCAAAATGTGGAAAAAAACAAGATGTTCTTCAACAGACGAATGGATAAAGAAGATGTAGTCCATATACACAATGGAATATTACTCAGCCATCAGAAAGGCTGAATACCCAATTTTTGCATCAACTTGAGTGGGACTGGAGGAGATTAGGTTAAGAAATAAGTCAAGCAGAGAAAGTCAATTATCATATAGTTTCACTTATCTGTGGAACATAAGGAATAGCATGGAGGACATTAGGAGAAAGGAAAAATAAAAGGGGAGAAGTCAGAATGGTAGATGAACCATGAGAGACTATGGACTCTGGGAAACAAACAGAGAGTTTTAGAAGGGAGGGGGAGGTGAGGGGATGGGTGTGTCTGTTGATGGGTATTAAGGAGGGCACAGATTGCTTGGAGCACTGGGTGTTATATGCAAACAATGAATCATGGAATACTACATCAAAAACTGATGATGTACTGTATGGTGGCTAACATAACACAATAAAAAAAAAAGAAAAAATAGAAAAGTCTTTCATTCTTTTATTGTAACCATAAATGACAAAATAATAATATCAGTAGATTTAGTTTTAAATGTGTATCTTGAATTTTATTAACCCAATTTCATAACAGAAGCTACTTTTTAAAGGCATCATTCTCTAAGATGAATTGTGGAAAATTATATTGTATTCTAACTTTGGACACCATGGATAGGATAAACATTGATTTCAGAAGGTCTCCTGAATTTAGGAAAATGTTCCCTCAACAATGTCTGATACTAAAGTATTTTTCTGATATCATCCTTTCATCCTTTGACTCAGACACTTGTTTTTCCAGAGTTTAGTCACCAAATTTGAATTGCTTAAAAAAAAAAGAAATCCAACAATCTTTGCTACATGATTTTTAATGACCTGACTTAGTTTTTCAGTATTCTGAACAAAATGGGCAAATATAGGACTTGAGTAATAAAGCTGGGAACAAATTGTGAGCAAGTGATGGTTTATTAATGAGTAATTGATTTTAAAACAATCATGTCTGAAAGCAATAGGGAAAGTTAAAGAATAATTCCTAGAATTAGAAGGTGTGGGCTTCTTTCATACAAAAGTGATACATTTGAATAAAATAAATATTCATGTAAGCAAGATAAGAATTTCAGTCTCTAAATAACCTCAGTATCAATCAGAAGTTCAATGGAATTAAATAGATGTTTATAATAGGAAATTCTTAGAATCATTTGGAAAAGGTGATATGGGAAATATACTCTCATTTCACATGAGTTTAAAGAGAAATTGCTATTTTCACATAAAAAATAAAGCTGGCTCTAATATGCTGTTTTGAAAATTATTATAAATGGCCCTCTGAGAAAAATCTCAAGTGTCATGGATGCCTCAGAAATACCAATTGAACATTTTTTTATCTTGAGCAAAAACAACATCAACAACAACAAAAGACACCAAAACTTGAAGTTCATAAAGATAAGAAAAAGTTACCCTCTGTATCCCTATTGATTTTAAAAACAATTAAGTTGTAGTGAATTCTCCAACTCTGGGAAACATGATATAATAGGGCATCACAGTTTAGTTTTCAATTCATCATCATTCAAGACTTTGGAATTTTGGTGCATATCTTTGCACTCATTTTCCTTTCCTGGAACTTTTGCCTCTATAAGCACAGTTCCTGAAGAGACATTTTCACCAGGTAGACGACGTTTCTTCAAAATAATTAGGATTAAAAAGGCTGGAATATAGCTTATTCCTCTTAGAGCTGATGGCAAGCCAAGATAGATGTATCTATCAAAAAAATGTTAAAACATATTAAATCTTACATAGTGTGGTGAGTACAAGCTAGTATTGCATATCTTTAATTATTAATATTTCATTCCCATGAGGACAATAGCAGCTAATTGTTTTGCATGTCAATTTTATATAAGCAACTTCTTTGAATTCACTTATTCTAATGTTTGTTAAATGTTTTTTTTTGGAATTTTTCATCCAGAAAATTCACACTTATTTTCTTCTTTTCTAACCTTTTAGGTTTTTAAAATCTTTTTACATTAAATTGAACCTCTAATTTAAATGTAATACTGACAGCGATAGCAGTTTTATTCCAGTATCTAATTAAGAATGCTCCCAAAGAAATCTCCATCAATTGTGATTTCTACTCTGGGGGGGTTTTTTGATGACCTTAATCAAATTAAGGAACTTCCTCTTCTATTCTGAATTTGCTCAAAGTTTTAATTATGAATATGTAAAGTATCACCAAATTATTTTTCTGCATATAGTTAGCAGAATATCAAAGATCTTACCCCCTTTACTGTGTTAATCTATTAGGTTAATAGATTTTTCTCATATTGAACCATCCTTGAATATCTAACATAAACTCTGTTAGTGAGTGTTTTATACATTAGATTTGATTTGTTCATTTCTTATTTAGAATATTTGCATGCATAGTTATAAGTAAAATTAGCCTGAACTTTTTTCCTTCTACTGAACTTGTCTAATGTGAATATCAAGATTGTACTAATTTGTAAATGAATTGGAAAATTTTCTCTTTTTTTCCATTTCTTAGAATAACTTGTTTTATGCAGAAATCATTAGTTCATTGAAAGTTTGTAAAACTTGCCTTAAAAGAATCTGGACTTGATGCCTTTGGAGAATGGGAATTTTCAACTGATTCATGTTTTTAAATAGCTATGAAAATATTCATGTTTTCTATGTATTTATAGTAAAATTTTGTAAGGTGTACTCATCTAGAACAGTCTCTATTTAATGTTTCTAAATTGCTGTATCTATCCTTTTATATTCTTCATAGTGTTTATTTGTGTCTCCTCTCTGTTTGCCTTCCCAGATAACTGTTATTATTATTATATTTTAATCTTTTCAAAAAACAGTGTTTCACTTTTTTATGACCTCTATGGTGTGTAGTCTATTAATTTCACCATCTTTTAATTTCATCTTTTTACTTCTAAAATATTCTTATGAAACACTTCAAGAATATAGACAAAATAAATTAACTAGTATGTTTGTACTTACCACCCAGGTTTTCAAAATGATTAAATTTTACCATTTTTGTTTCAGGCCAATTCAAAAGAAAATACTAATACATTAAAATCCCATGTGTGGCCCTATGATATTATCTTCTAGCCCTTTCTTGATGTAAGACTATGTTGAATGTTATGGATTTTCTTTCTAGTTTATTTTTATAGTTTTACAAGGTATATATTAATAACATATATAATTTATATATTTTTACATTTTAAATAATTGGTATATGCTATACATTTTATTTTGAAAATTTCTGTTAGCCCCTCATTTTAAAATTTAAAATCATTTCTGTTAGCCCCACAGTTCTACAGTTCTACTTTTTTTTTTTGAACCACATTTTAATTTGTGAACATGCCACAATTTATTAATCCAGGTCTCTATTGGACACTTGTATTATTTAACTTTTTTCTAATATCAACAATACTGCAATAAAACTTTCATATGTCTCCTTGTGTACGTGAACAAGAGTTTCTCTAAAATATGTCTCAGGGTTGTAGAGTACACAACTTAGTAGATATTGTCCAAAAGTTTTCTTCATTAGTTTTTGTTCACTACCAACATTCCTCATTATCTACAGTGTCTTCTATTATAAAGAAATTTAAAAATTTATAGTCACATTTGCTCATTTCTTGCTATGTGGTTTGTGTTTTTGACTCAAACCCAAAGTAATAAGGATCAGAGATATTAAGCTCTATTGTTGCTGGTACCTATCTGCTATTGGTCTAATTGTTATTTCTTTGTAAGCCATCTATTTATTTCATAACAGGTTCTTTCTATTTATCTTAAAAGTTTGTAATTTTACTCTAGTATGTCCATTTATATTTATTCTATTCTATTCAGAATTCATCTTTGATATGAAAATTCATGTCTCAAATACCAGGAAATTCTAAGCCATTAATTCTTATATCTGACACTTCCTCCATTCTCTTCCTAGAATTTTTTTTTTTTTGAGGTGTATACTTTGTTAGTTGATCTTTAATATTATTTAAGCATTCATTTTTGTTGAATCAGTTTAGGTTATTGATTTACATTCTGGATAATTATTTTTTTCAGTTCACCAATTCTCATTTTAATTAGGTTGGCTTGAAATTTGTTACATACTTAGGATTCCTTTTATTATCTCAATGCTATACATTTATTCTTTTGTATTTCCAAGAGTTCTTTTGGCATTCTCCTTTCTGCTTGATTTTTCTTTTAATTTGTTATTCACTTTTAATGGATATTATGTCATTTATTTACTATTTTTAAACCTATTGTACTGGTTAAGCATACTTATTTTAAAGTCTTTGTCAGATTATATAATTTAAAACAGATTAAATTATATTAAATTTAATCTGGAATGAAGCCATGTTTCATCTGGTAATTTATGCGCATTTTTTTTTTTTTTACCACTAGATTTGTTCATGTGTTTTTAAGTTTTAGCTGGCAAAACTAAACAATTTTGAGTATTTTGTTGTTGCTGCTGACCGTTCTGGTGTTCTTTCACTATATTTATTCTTCTAAAATCTCTTTTACAAAGAGGTTTGTACTAGTTTCCTAGGGCTGCCATAACAAAGCACCACAAACTTTATGGCTTAAAACAAAGTTATTCTTTCACAATTCTGAAGGCTTGAAATTGGAGGTCAAGGTGTTGGTAGGGCCAGGCTTCCTCTGCAGGCTCCAGGAAAGAACCACTTCCTTGACTCTTCTTAGCTGCTGGTAATTGCCAGCAAACCTTAGCATTCCTTGGTTTGTAGATGCAACCCTGAAATGTCTACCTCTGTCTCCACGGTATTCTTCATGTGTATCTGTGCCCTTGTGCCTCCTTTCCTCTTCTTATAAGGACCCTGATGATTGGAATTAGGACCCACTCTAACCCATATGACCTCATTTTAATTTCACTAATTCAAAGACTTATTTCCAAATAAAATCATATACTGAGACTATGGGTAGATGTGAAATTTTGAGGGACACTACTCAGCTCAGTCCAAGGGTGTTGAACACCACCTCATGGATTACAACATTGAATCTGGATCTAATCTCTTGACTCTTTTGAAGAACTTTATTTTCTCTGAAGCCGATCATCCAGAAACCACTGTCCATTTCTATGTTTAGAGGCTTTGCATTCAACCTTTGTGCTCAGCTCTATTTAAGCCTATATGTTTCTGTTCAGTTTCTAGTTCAGGAAAACTGAATGTCCAGAATGATGTTTACATTATCTTTGGAACCAGATATATCCCTTTAGAATTAAAAAGATATATTGTATCTATTGTTCTTATTTGAAACAGGAAATATATCAATATATTAAGTTATATAACTTAATGAATTATTTATCAGATTTCTTTACTTTATTCGAACTTGCATTGTCCTTTTTCTAAATTCTGAGTTCACTAATTTCCAGTCTTTTTTAAAAACATGTATACATTCAAATTTCTAAATAAACTTTTGAGTACTGGTTTAGCCTTGTCCCAGAGGTTTTCCTATTCAATGATTTCACTGACATAGAGTTTTTATTCCTTCATTATTTTTTATAAATTATTTATTCTTTAACCTATAATTAATTTCATTTGTGAGATTTTGGTAATATTTTATCATAGATTTCTAATTGCATTGCATTATGGGCAGAAAATAGTGGTTACATGGTTTCAACACTTTTTTTTAACTTTGTGGCATTAGACTTAGTTGTAATAAATGTTTATTATAGGCTGGAGAAAATATATATTCCATTGGTTGAGCTTTTTAAAAATTGATATATATCTACTAGATGACTCTTGTACAGTTTGGTGGTTCACACTTTTCTCTATCCTAAATAATTTTTGTTTATATTTTCTATTCACTTGTTGGGAACGTTTGTTGAAATTTTCCATTCTGATTTATATTTCTTCCTGTAATTTTGTGAGCTTTTTGTTTTATATGTTTGAGATTAAGTTGATAGATATATATGGGCTGATTACTGGTATATATTATTGATAAAGTGTTACTTCTTTTATGATGTAATATCCTTCTTTAACTCTATTAATCTTTTTCACTTTTTTGAAATTTTTCATTTTTTTAAAGTAGGCTCCACATCCAGCATGGAACCCAATTCAGGGCTTGAATTCATGACCTTGAGATAAAGACCTGAGCGGAAATCAAGAGTTGGATCCTTAACCAACAGAACCACCCAGGTTCCCCATCCTTTTCACTTTAAATTCTATTTTGTCTCAGACTCATTAATATAACCACAGGAATTTGATTTAATACCTGCCTGGTATATCTTTCTGACCTTTATCTTGAACATTCCTCACATTATATTTTTTAGGTTGTGTCTTATAAATAACATATAGCTAGAATTTTGAAATTGAAACTCACGTGAAAGTCACTATCTTTTAAGAAGCAAGTTCATTTGCTTTACATTTATTGTTAAATCTGATATATTTAGGTTTATTTTTTCAACTTATTTTGTATGCTCTTATTTTCCTATTTCTTAGTTTCATTGAATTTTCCTTAATCCTTTCCTTCCTTTCTAAGTAGCTTAGAATAAATGTAAGTGGCTATCCTTATATCCTTACATTTTTGGTAAAATTTAATCAGTACTTCTGTTCTTAAGAACTACAAAAGATTTCTAGATTTTACCTGGATTTTGAGCTAACAAGTTAGCCTGCCACAGTTGCATGGATGCTGATTCAAGATACAAGACTTCCAGGTCAGAGACACAGGATTTTTTTACTCACAGTACAACAATCAACAAAAGCTGCAAATTCAGGTTGGTTCTCCTTAACCTTCAAGTCCGAAAGGAATCACACAGTGAGAGACCTACGAGGATTTTGTGCACACAGTAGGCTTGGATCATGGCTAAGGATCCCTAAGTTAAGGAAATCCCATTCTTTTAAGTGGACTACAAGCAAATCTGCCAACCTTTGCCCTAGAGAGAGTTAATATTTGTATCATCTTAGACAGCAAACTCTGTTCTATAGAAAATAAACCTCACTTATATCTTCCAAGGTCATTTATTACTCAAACATCCTTGAGAAGATAGTCCACAGCAGAAGCCTCTGCTAACAGGATATGCAAAAATGTAAAAGAGACCCATGGAGAACTGTCTACCAACAATGCCCACCTCCTATTTCTAAGCAATATTAACATCTGGTGAATTTTCTCATGAGTACACTTTATCAGCTACTCTAATTAACCTCACAGAGTTTGGTACCAAATATAATTATTTTGTCTGAAATAGCATTTAATTAAGGCTGCTATCAACAGGAATCCTGGCAGCAGGCTTAGGCCAATCTACATTAGGGGCCCTTGGGGTTTCTCAACTGTGAAGCAAACACATTCTGTGCACAGTTTGTGCCTGGGCGCACCTCCACTCTACCTCTGCAGAGCTTCAGGGGAACAGAGAACTGATGAAAACATGAGTCTCATGCTGTCTGCACCCTTCACAGTTCTTCACATAGATCCTTTTACTAATCAACGTAAGACCTTAGAGAATTTTAAAGAATGCTTCATTGTTTTTTAGTAAATGAAAACATTTTCGAACTGCCCTGTCAAGAAAAATTAATACAAATTTAACAGTTCAGGTCTCCAAATGAAAAAGAAATATGAAAATAGAGCAAAATGGAAGTGTTTGTTACAAAACACATTATTATTATTTTGAGTTTTTTTTTAAAATCAGACTCATAATAACAAAAGAATATATATTCTGGAAACACAACCAAAAGTAGTCTAGTATCTGACAAAGAAAATGTTACACATGAATGGTACTATTTTATGTATAACCTGTGCCTAGAAAGCAATCTCCAAAAAATTTATTATCTTTACCTGAAGTTGGTAGAATCATATATCCTGCATGCCCCTGACTCACCACATTTCAAAATTCCCCAATGTAAACATGTGGAATCCACTAAAGCTCCAAAATATATAGGTGCAGGAATTCCAGCTACAATTGAAGAGAGGAGAAGGAAAAATCCATCAACAAGGAAAGAATTAAGGCACATTATTTTGTTTGGAAACATTTTAATTTTCTCTATTTGTAGAACAAATAAAGTTTAACAAAATATGAATAGAATGTTCTGTTTTATTTTTAGAAATTAGAAAGTACTTTTATTATAAAGTTTCTAAATTATAAAAGATAAGTAATATAATATATAAATGCAGCATAAAATTATCACATTGAATTAATGATTCTTTATATTTTTTTCTGCAGTGTTTTAAACCGATCATGTGTATATTTTACTTCAACAACGCATTTTTGTTCATTTGATTTTCAAATCTTCTAATAGATGAAAAATAGAATTAAGTTCAGATAGATCTTTTTCAAGTAAAAGGGGGAGGTTCTCCATGTCTTATTGTACCACATTCTCATATAAAAGAACAAAGTGCTGCAAGCAGAAGAGATATTTGCTAGACTATTACTCTGGGAGAATGATTTCATTTACTTAGTATTTAATAATGGTCTGATGCTGGAAAAAAGAATGATTTTTACCAAATACTCTTGTGCAAAATGTATGTAACCCCACACCAAGAGACTTCTCTTCAGGCTTGATGCACCTAAAAAATAAGTAAATACACAAATAAAATAGAAGTAGAGATTTAAACACTGTCATAGTTTTTTTTTTTTAACTCTTTGTATGCTGGTAACACACTGGGCACTAGAAAATTGTTTTGCATGCTCAGGTCTTGGTTATTCAAGAATAATTATCCAGTATATAGCCTACAGAGGACCTCTACTTCTGGTCCTTGGCATTTTACCCATCATTTTTTGCTCATTCATTTGATAACTCATTCAGAGTTATCAAGGAAGAAAATATTTCATATCGATTTCTATGCCAATATCCACTTATTGACATGGCAGTTCTTTATTAAACCTTCAGACTAAAAACAAAACTATGCAACTCTCACTGTATTAAAGTCATTTGTACTGACAAAATACAGAAAAGCCAAGAATTTGTATAAGTAAATGGAAGGCAGAAAGAAAGCAGAAATAAACATTTTCAAAGGAATATAACAAATCCAAAGCAAACATATTTTATGTGATTTGGTACTGTTTCGAGTCACACAGATCTCTCCATTTTCTCCCAAAATTCCACCACTTTTGCACTGTTGCCTGAAATTCCTATATGTAGAAATGGAGACTATAATTCCCCAGTGGCCCTTTTTGTGTCCCACTCACTCCAGCATCAACATTGCTAACTCCCCAAAGAATTCACTTAGAGAAGTCCACTGCATTCCCTTCCCTTCCCTGATTAACATAAAGCTGAGAAAATAAATTCTGCTTTCTTCACAAAGGCATACAATACATTTTTACCAAAAATGTCATCTTATTGGCATTTTCTCAATGTAAGTATTTTACTAAATTTGAAAAATATCATAGTTTGACCTAGACATTATCTTCCTGACATATAGGTTACTTAGACAACATCAGTGATTTATTCAGAAGGTAGTTAACAAAGCCAGGAGACCTAGCATGATCCCCTTAGTCCCACGGTTTCCATTTAATACAGAAAACAGGGCATTTAAATTTTATTGAAATTTTTTTCCTTCCCCTCTATCTCTAATATAGCCCTTAATGATCTCACAGAAGCATGAAATACTAATAACAAAGAAATTATTTAAACTGTTGGAACAGTTTAAACTGTTCTATGAATACAAGGAAGGCAGTGGCGTGGCAGAGGAGAAGGAGTTATTTTTATTTTTATTTATTATTTTTTTTTTCACCACAAAATTACTTTAATTTGGAAATGTTCAAAAAAATAAGTTAATGAAATAGTCTGGTCATCTGGCTAATCAGTTCTACAAACTCCACACATGAGATGAGCACATGTCAAGTCAGGGGAAACAAACACACATGCATATATACAAAATCAGAAAGATTAAAGACTCCTAAATTCACAAATAAAAGCCCTTTAACAGCGCAAAACTCAACCGAACACTATAATCATTGATTTGTGTTGATAATAACGTAGTGTTATTGTAATCACTTTCACTGATTGGTGTTGGTAATTTCTAGAATTCAAGAATCAGAAAATTAGCATGCAAATCATGCAAAAATGCTGAGAGAAATTGAAATCATTCTTTAAACTGGCAGATAGCATTGATGTTGTGCCCCTTTATCATCAAGGTAGGAGATCCAGGGAAATTCCACAAAAATAGAGACAAACAGAAGTATATTAATAAAAACCTTGGGGTTAAATTCTACAATATTGTTCTGGCAAGAGACGGGGGAAGAAAATAGAGACATGAAGAGAACCTGATTAGGTACTTGTTTTATTAGGGGGTAGATACTAATATTAAAAAGTTTTGAAGTTGATAAGTAAAACATTAATGTAGAATTTCAATAATTAGGTTTAGCCATTTGAAAGATACAGCTTTCAAAGTAGTAACAGAACATCCAATATACACAGCAGTTCCCCCTTATCTGTGGTTTCACTTTCTGTGGTTTGAGTCACCCGCAGTCAAGAAGCAGATGGTCTAGGGACTGGAAGATCAAAAGCAGCTGAAGGCTACAGTACCTATATCACAGTGCCTATGTCATTCACCTCCTTTCATTTCATCATGTGGGCATTTTATCATCTCATATCATCACAGGAGGAAAAAGGGTGAGTACAGAGGCACTTGGGTGGCTCAGTTGGTTAACCGTCTGCCTTCAGGACAGGTCATTATCCCAGGATCCTGGGATCGAGCCCTGCATTGGGCTCCTTCCTCAGCTGGGAGCCTGCTTCCCCCTCTCCCTCTGCCTGCCACTTCCCCCACTTGTGCTCTCTCTCTCTTTGTCAAATAAATAAAATCGAAAAAAAAAAAAGGGTGAATACAGCACAATGAGATATTATAATAGTGAGAGAGACCACATGCACTTAACTTTCATTGTTACAATTATTCTATTTCATTATTAATTATTATTGTTAATTTCTTGCTGTACCTAATTTATAAGTTAGATTTTATCACAATTATGTATATATAGGAAAAACACAATTTGTGTAGGGTTTGGTACTATCCACAGTTTCAGGCATCCACTGGAGATCTTAAAATATATCCCTTGCAGATAAGGGGTTTCACTGTACAATGGAAAGCAAAAAAAAGAAACAAAAAGAAAGCAAAATCAATAGAATGTATTAAGTAAAATAGTAAAAAGAGCTTTGCCACAATAATTATAAAAAAACATAAATGGGTTAAGTGTACCAATTTTAGATGATAAAATCATACCTACAGATTATCTATGGAGCATAAAGGAAGATTGAAGACTGAAAATAAAGGGAAAGGAAAAGATGTAACAGGAATAGTGAACCAAAAGAAAGCTAGAACTATAATTTTAATAAGAAACAAAGTATAATTCCTTGAAAGAAATAGCTAAAAGATAAAGAGAATTAAGTGATGCTAATAATAGAAGTACAATGACCAAAAGCATATAATCCTATAATATAACCTCCAAATACTAAATTAAAAAAAAAAAAACAAAAAACGGGTGATGGGTATTAAGGAGGGCACATGTTGTGATGAGAACTGGGTGTTATATGCAACTAATGAATTGTTGAAATCTATATCAAAAACTAATGATGTACTATATGTTGGCTAACTGAACATAATTTTTAAAAACTGACAGAATTATAGCAAGAAATACATTAGCAATATTTAGAGATTTGAACACCTATCTCTGAAAAACTGATGAATTACATTTACAAAATTTCAATAATAAAGTAATTTACTTCAAAAGATCTGAGAACTGTATACTCAAAATGTAGAAGTTACCTATTCTTTTCAGAAAAATGTGAAGTACTCAAAAAATGCACTAGGCCCCAAAGAAAGCCTTGACATCTCACCTTCCCAACCTGTAATCTTTCAGATTATGTTCTCTGAACATAAAAATGAAATAACAATTATATCTATAGAAAGTATATATTATATCGATAACAAGTATATCTATAGAAAGTTCTAATCAATATGAAAATTATATAACATGTTAATAAATAAGCTTTGGTCTGGTGGGGCAAATCATAAGAGAAATTGCAAAATAGTTCAAAATAAACTTCAAAGAAAATATTAATTGAGGCATAAATAAGTAATAGTTGGGAGGAAATGTATAGTTTCATCTATAGTAGTCAAAATGAACAAATGATCTAAGTATTAAACTCAAATAGTTAGATAAAGAACAACAGAACAAGCCTAAAAGAAAAAAAAATTAAAAAGAGCAGAAATACATGAAATAAAGATTAACCAAATGAGAACTGATTCTTTAAAAGGACAAAAATAAAACATATGTCTCTGGCAACAATGATCAAGAAAAAAATGATGAAGGAACAAAAAAGTACATAAGAAAAAAGAGTAAACCTTTCAGATATACCAGAGAATATCAGAATGATAAAAGAACATTATAAACACTTATTCACTAACAAGCATACAACAGGTGTAAGTAGAAATGGAAAATGTGAATAGGCACTAACATTGAAAAAATGGAAATAATAATCAAATATCACTGTCCAAATGAGCCCAAAATATAAATATTTTTATAGGTGGATATATGTAACTTTCAACAGATAGATATTTAATATAAGTAGTTCCAGAAATTAAAAAAAAGAAAATTTATAAATTCATTTTGTGCAGTCTCAAATGATTCCAAAGCAGAACAAGAATAAAATAGTAGGTCTGTTTCACTTATAAAGATAGATATAACAATTTTAAATAAAGCATTGTTTAAACAAACCAAATCATATATAAAAATATACCATAACTATGGTTTTTCTCATCCATGCAATCAGTTTAACATAAAAAAACTGTTTTATTTTACTACACTAAAAATACTGAGTAGAAAAATTATAGAATCATAGATGCAGAAAAATACAATTAATAAAGTTTGTACCCATTTCATTATTAAAGACTTAGAAACTAGATGGAAACTATGTACTGAAAATCTACAGCAAGTATCATAATGGAAAAATTTATATGGTTTCCATTAAGATTAGAATACTCACTATCACCACTATCACTACAATCACCAGTATCATTTTACATAATTTTGGAGGTCCAAGTTGATGATAAGAAAATTTAAAAAGCCTAGGATGTGTAAGGTTTAGAAGTGAAGAGATATAACTCTCCACATTTGTACACCTTTCTATATAGAAAACCTAACAAAATCAAAAAATTATTATAATAAGAAAAATTAAATTAAAAACTAAACTTTAAAAAATTAACAGCATCCCTCTAAATTAACAATAACCAACTAGAAAATATAAGAGAAAATAGGGTCACTTATAATCACAAATAAATACATACCAGTATGTATTCATACAAACATCCATATCCGTGTGTAGATATATGTGGATATGCATATGTTTATAATTGTGAGTGATATAATCTTGTATATATGTATATATTTGGGTATATGTGTGTGTATGGTATTTATAGAAGAAAGTTTAAATAAATGGAAAGATATTCACAAAAGATATTTCACAAAAATTTGATGCCAGATTTTCTCCAGTTAATCTATGAGTCCACACAAGCTCCATCAAAATTCCTATGTGAGTATAAAGATCCATACATCAGTAGCTAAATCAGTTTGTGAAGAAAAGAAAAAAGAAAGAGTAAAGATGACAGTTTTGTATGCTCTCATACTGTTACCATATTGATTTTATTACTTTGATATTGTGTATGTTAATATCTCATATGGTAACAGTATGAGAGCATACAAAACTGTGGAATAAGAATAAAAGTGAAAAATAGCCTCATGTAATATTAAAACATGAGATATGATAAAGGTGGTACCACAAATCAATAGAGACCTCTTATTTATACTGATGTTGGGAAAACTACTTTATTATATGTAGAAAAAACAACACTGAACATCTGTCCCCCTTGTACCACACATAAAAATAGACTTGCAGTGGTTTAAAGAACCATATATAAAAGGTGAAACTATGAATATTAGGATAAAATTTAGGTTAATATTTTTATAAATTAGGAATGAAAAAACACTTTTAAAATATGACTCCCCAACATAAAAATCCTAAGGCAAGAAATTTCAGTATGATAAATTTCAGTATGATAAAATTTAGGATTTAATTTCATAAAAGATACTATGGAGAAATTAAGGATGAGAGACTAAGAGATAATTGTATCCTGTAAACAATATTATATTAATATTTATAATTTAAGCAGAATCATCAAAATTGCCAAGAAAAGTGTAGGAAATATAATAGAAAATGGACAAAGAAAATCAATAAGCATCTTGAAGCAGAAGCCTAGAGCTAAAAAAAAAAATTGATAGGATGCTTAAACACACTGAATCAGGAAATCACACATTAAAACATCAGTGAACTACCAATCTAGACCTGTTGGAGTGGTCAAAGTCCGAAAGTTAGATAATTCCAAGTGTTAGTGAGGCTGTAAGTGTAGGAACTCCCTCACAGTAAAGGTGTGAGAATAACTCATAAGTACTAGCAGTACTTGGTGAATTTATGTATGCCTGTGCCTTATGAACCAAAACAAGATTTACAGCACAACAGCTCCTGTGTGAATATAAAAGCACATACCAACAAAAAAATTAGCATTTTACAAAGGACAATCCATTAAGATCATATAGCTATCATATTCATGTGAGTGCCTATGGTAAGAGGATGTGAAAAATGGAACGAAAAAAGCAAAGTAAAACAAGAATGAAAACTTGTCCCAGCCTATGAGAATAATGTGCTATGCACTGAGAATTGTAATTATCTTAACTCTGCCTCTAAGTTCCAATAAAATACGAAGAAAAGAGAAAGAAATGCAAATTTTGTTCACTAGGAATATCTGCGATTGTCTACTAGGCATGAAGAATGCTGGAATTCAATGAACACATGTGTACGACACCTAAGTTTGAATTGGAACTCTGCAGTTTCCTAGTTTGAGAAAGCCCTTCATCATTTGTCTCTCACAACAGACTTGTAAAAAGAGTTGAACATTTATTGTTACGCCTATTTTTTTATTAAAAAAAATGAAGCTCAGATTAAGTGACCCCAAGGCTTCTGATGGCTTTACACTCGATGTCCTACAGCTTGAGCCATATGAAATGACTGCTAGGCAACTACTCTTTACCTATTGAAATGACCATTTCATACAGTTTATACTAAAATATAAATGTCTCTTCTTGTGTTAAACAATGAGAGGGTCACATAATTTAACTGCAAAAAATAAAGGAAAAGTTAGGAAGAGAAATTCCAAAAGGTGAATATTCATATTCCTGAACTATAAAATTTTATAAAATTTCAACAATGTAGAACTCTTATTAAGTGATACATGAAAGCACTGAATTCTTAGATAACATGGGCTCTAAGTGGCTTTCTGAGAAAAAATTACCTTAATAAAGGGCCAAAAAGGAATCCAAATAAAGAAAATGATTTTTGTACCTTAGGAGAACCATATATCCAGGTATGGCAGATAAAGAATAAATAAAGCTGCCAACTGCTGACAAGATTAAAAAGTACTGAAGCATCATGGAACAGTCATGTCCTTTGTCACACAGTCCAAGAACTGCAGATGAATTTGCTGACATTTGAATGCAGCTACAATTTCGGAACACCTGTGTGAAAATAATATATTATCCTATTTAAGAAAGTAAAATTTTGAACACAAATCACAAATATTTTCTACATAGCCAACTGGATCAAGATGGAGACTATTTATTCCCTTTATTCTCATCTCAATTATGGTCCCTCTCAGGATTATAGCATAAAACAAGACAGGGAAAGGCGGTTTTAGAAAAATACATTGCTTTCTAAATATGTGAAGTAAATTTGCAATAGCTCAGATAGTCTGAAGTCATGTCTTTTAAAAACATATACTGTTTTGTTACAATAGGAAGTATAATAAAGTTTGTTTCAGAACACTCAGTGGAAATATTTAGATACTTATGAATAAAGCTTTATTTCAAAAAATACAGTTCATTTAAAAAAAACAGAGTAAAGTCAATCCTTTAAAAATTCTTGTATGTTTCCAGGTTTTCATAAGAATTTTATGAAAATTTTTTTGAAAGTTTTACTTTATCACCAACCAACATTTTAAATACTGTAACATTACTTAGGCAAAGAAAGAAAAGGCTAATTCCATCTTCTTAAAAAGCTGTCAGGGGGCGCCTGGGTGGCTCAGTGGGTTAAGCCTCTGCCTTTGGCTCAGGTCATGATCTCAGGGTCCTAGGATCGAGTCCCGCATCGGGCTCTCTGCTCAGTGGAGAACCTGCTTCCTCCTCTATCTCTCTGTCTGCCTGCCTCTCTGCCTACTTGTGATCTCTCTCTCTCTGTGAAATAAATAAATAAAATCTTAAAAAAAAAAAAGTCAGAACGTGAAAAATATAGAAAAGGAGAAAAAAATGGCAAAGCAATTAGCCGGATAATTGAGATAAAAACCACCAACTTCATCTCAATGATAAAAATATTTTAGTCCAGAATATTTTTAAAATGAATTATCTGAGTAATGACATTACTGCTTTATTAAAGATCAGTGATCAGTGTCCACTATATTCAAAAAAATTAAAGAAAAAGATTATTGGTCAGGCATTATGGAGTTAAAATAAGATTTGTGGAATAAAAAGTAAATCAAATGAACATTCAGAAAGACTTCAATTTTACTTTTATCAAATGAGGACTCAGTTCATGTTGGAAGTTTTCAGTGCAATGCATAAAAACAAAGTTCTGTGAAAAGACCAATAGAATATGTTACCATATTTATTCCTGCTCCAACAGATGTCTCACAACCAGCAAGACAAGCTGACATATATGACACACCATTGTTTCCACACACAGGGTCCCATGTTTTAGTTGGACAGTTGCAATCCCTGTTACAATCAGCAAGGATGGTATCTCCCACATATAAATCTTGTTGCATTCTGAAATGATTTATAATAATGCATGAATGTTTAAAGACTATCAGAGCATTTTCTTTTTCTTCTTTTCATCTTAATCCAAGATTTTATTTCCTCTCCTCCCCAAAGTGGAAACAGGAATCTTCCCACTATCCATGTGTGGACTCAGTACTAAGCTCTGGCATTAAAAAATATCTGTTTTGGTGACCACATAGCCACTTTTCAGTGATTTTCTTCAGATAAAGAAATAGCCAAAACAGGCATTAACTGAGTGCCTATCACATAGAAGGTGCTTTTTCAGGCATTATTTGAACACAAAAATGAAGATGACTGAATCCCTGTGGTTGATCCATATGGTAGTAACAAGAGATCTTATGCTTGAACGCAATTTTGAAGATCAGAATCTGTAAGTTCAATTTGTAATGCAGATAGTACATTTAGCTTTAGAAAGCTAACTACTTGAGTAAACAAATACATTCTCCTAGTATAAAGTATGTGCAGTGGTCACCAAAATGGCAAGATAGGTTGTTCTGGACCAGCCTCCCTCCCAAGAAGACCAATTAGCAGCTATCCATAGATAAGATAACATAGTGAAAATCCCAGAACCTGGGGGTGAAGCTAAAGTACCCCCCTGGACCATGAAGACCTAGAGAAACCACACTGGAATGGTACAAGGAGCAGATGCACTCTAAACAAATTGCCCCACAGCCAGCTCAGCATAACGCCTCACTGGGAAGGCCTCCCTGGGCCTACAATTTTGCCAGTGGGAAGAGAGAACCCAAGGTGGACATCAAGCTCCCTCGGCATTGTGAGATGTTTCCCAGGAGGCCCATTCAGGTCTCACCTCATGAGGATCACTGGGAGAATCTGCAGGCCTCACTTATGAGGAATTAGATAAAGAAGGAGAAAGGGGACAGGGATTATAGCAAGCAGCACTCAGATCTTGGCAGACTGTATTCTTACTTGCAGCATTGACCAAGTACAGATCCCAGCCTGTGGTACAGCTCATCTATAGAGCTGAATGGTGGCTTCTTTTGGCCAAGGAGCTCAGCTGGCACTTCTGCTTGATTTGGGTACCTAGTCAACAGGCCATGGTGGCTGTGGAGACAGTTCAGCTGCCCTGTTTGGGCAGAGAAGCAAACTCTGCCTAACTACTGAGCACAGCCTCCAGTCCCACCCATCCAGAAAGCCTGGCCAGAGAACCTAAGCCAGAGAGTCCATCCTATAGCCCTGCTCAGTCTGGGAGCCAAGCTAATAGCCCTGCCTTACTGTTAAATGTAACCTCTGGCCCCACATAACCAAGGAGCCTGAACAGTAACCCTGGGCAACCTCAGAGCCCAAACTACAGCACCACCCAGTAGTATAGCCCAGCCTTCGGCACTACCCGAAGTAGTAGTGAACACAGCGTGAAGCCTTGCTCAGGCAGGGAACCTAGTCAGTGACTCTACCCAATCATGGAGCAGAGCTTACAGCCTCACCTGATGAGAAAACGTGGATAGTGATCCTACCCAACCAGAGGATGCAGTTTCTAGCACCACCTAACTCTGGGATACAGCTAGAGGCTTCTCTCCTCCAGAGGGTCGGGCTAGCAACCTTGTCCCAACAGTAGAGCACGGTTAGCACCTTGTGAAGCTCAGCCTCAACAAAATATTGGCAGAGAAATTAAGAAAACAATCCAATAATTGCATCAAAAGAATAAATACTTACGGAATAAATTTAACCAAGGATGTGAGAATATGTACACTGAAAACTATTAGACATTGATGAAAGAAACTGAGGAAGACACAAATAAATAGAAAGATATTCTAAGATCATGGGCTGGAAGAATTAATATTGCTAAATTGTCCACACTACCACAAATAATCCGCAGATTCAGTGCAATCCCTAAACAGATTCCAGTGTACCACTGGCATTTTTCATAAACATAGGAAAACAATTCTAAAGTTTGTATGAACCCACAAATAAGTATCCAAAACAATCTTGAGAAAGAAGAACAAAGCTGGAAGTATCACACTTCTGGATTTCAAACTGTTTTTACAAAGCTACAGTAATCAAAACAGTATGATATTAGCATAAAAAAGAGTCACAAAAATTATGGAACAGAATAGAGAACCCAGAAATAAACCATACATATATGGTTAATTTACAACAAGAGAGCTAAGAATTTACTGTGGGGAAAGGATACTCTCTTCATAAATGATGTTGGGAAACTGGACAGCCACATAAAAAGAGTGAAACTAGACCACTATCTTACCCAATACACAAAAATTAAACTCAAATGGACTAAAGACTTAAATTTAAGACCTGGAGCCATAAAATTCCTAGAAGAAAATATAGTGGGTGAACTCTTTCATATCAATCTTGGCAATGATTTTTTGGATTGACACAAAAAAGCACAAGTAACAAAAGCAAAAATAAGTGGAACCGCATCAACTAAAAAGCTTCCAGACAGTAAGGGAGATCATAAACAAAATGAAAAGACACCCTATGAAATGGGGGTTAAATATTTGCAAATCATATATGTGTTAAGCAATTAATATCCAAAATATATTTTAAAACTAATAAAACTCAATACCAAAAACTAAAAACTAATAAAACTCAATACCAAAAAAACAAACAAGCTGATTTTAAAATGGGCGGAGGATCATTTTTAAGCCTTTTGATTAAGACCAAGTGTTAAAATGGGCAGAGGAACTAAACTGAGAATTTTCCATAGAAGACATACAGATGGCCAATAAGGAAGTGAAAGGATACTCAATATCACCAGTCATTAGAGAAATAAAAATCAAAGCCGCAATGAGATATCATCTCACATCTGTTAGGATGTATTATCAAAAGTCAACAGAAAATATTACTATGCATAACCTTCCTATAAATTCAGATAACCCTCAAATACATATCCAAAACTATTCAATGATAGACACATAATTAGACAAATGAAATGTATGAATTTACATATGAATTAATATTTCATGTGTTAAGATTCAGTTATGCTGGATGTGAGCCCATTGTGGAAACATATAAAGGTGATTGAGACTTTATAGGTAATTCTTAATTTTACCCACTTATGAAAGTGTAAAGTATATGGATCATATATCTTAATACAACCTAAGACTGTTGGTAGTTTGTTTGATATCCTCTTTACTATATACTAGTATCATATACACACATGTGCAGTCATAAACTCACTAACCCTATGATATGTTCCCAACCTCTTTAATAAGCCTAGAGCCTGGAGGACTAGGCTTATAATTGACAGATGGAGGAAAGGTAAAGACCATGGGTTATTGTTGGGAATTCTAATTAGCTAATGATCTGGTCAAGGGTAATCATTGAATAAAATACATTATTAACTGTCCTAAAAGTATGATATTCATTAGAAAACAACATACCCTTTATAAGTGGTGGTTATGCCAGCAACTGAAGAATTATCACAGATCATGAGAAAACACAAAAAATGGAGAAGATACTCAATTAAAGATAACCAACATCCTATGTGGGCAGCTTGTTTGACAGTAATTTTGAACTTCTTCATAATTAAACCACCAGCTATATATCCAATGCATATTGGAGGTAAGTTATAAATGCCTATAAATGTAAATAAAATGTTATTTACAAAGAGACTTAGCAAAAGAACAAATATGATAACACTTATCTAATATGTCTTACGTAAGAAACCATTTAGGTCCAACTCACAGTGAATAAAGCTGATTGAATTTTATCTCCAGTTAGTTATTATATCATGTATATATATCATGTCTTAGGTTGTATTAAGATATATGATCCATATACTTTATGCTTTCATAAATGGGTAAAATTAAGAATTACCTATAAAGTCTCAGTCACCTTTATATGTTTCCACAATGGGCTCACATCCAGCATAACTGAATCCTAACACATTATATGTACTAAATATAATCTCACGTATGTTAGGATATATTAACTAAATGGAGATAAAATTACGTACAGAGAGATTTTTAAATGCCCCACCATGTCAAAGTATTTTGAAGACTGTCATCACTATTCTTCTTTTAATTAATTATAGTAGGCTGTAAATTTCTCATATGCAGGGATCATATTCTACATTTCCTTCTAATGGTTCAGGTAGGAGTGACAAGTCAAAGTTGGCCATTAATTTATGATTAATATGATTTTGCGGTTGTTTATACCCACTCTAGATGTTGAGAATTTGACTTCGTTCAAGATACTTTGGAAGATTGCTGAGCCTGTGATTGTCAAGTACATTTACATTTCGTGTCTCTCTCCCTAAAAAAGGGGGAAACATCAAGAAAAAGGAAAAGACAGTGCTTGGTTGCATCCTTACAATGCCAGGGTAAGTGAATCCCATCAACATTTTCTTGGGAGACTGGTTAAAAATTCATTCCAGAATACCACACCAGATTGTCTAATTTAGTATGTTTGAGGTGGGCACCAGGTATCTGAACTTTTAACAAGCACTCTAGGTGATGAGGCTGCAGGCAGTTTGGGAAATTCACTTTTCAAAACAGTAAAAAGCTCTCACGGGAAAGCCAAGATGGAAGAGAGCCACTAGAGTTAATGTGGTCTCGTGAGAAACAGAATGCTTGGGCTGTAAAGACGCCTCAAACCACCAGAGGGCCCGAGGAACTAAGGAATTCATAACCTTGAGTTAAAAGAGTAAAACTCAGACTCCTAATGAATTAACATTGTTTTCCTTTTTGCATTAATGGTTTGCTTCTCTGAAAATTATCTCTAATCCGTACATTCCCCAGGATTTCCAAAAATATTTTGAATTTGCATTCTGACTGGAGAAAGACCAGAAAAGAAAGCCAGGATTTCCTGGCTTCTTTCCTTCCCTTCCTTGTTGATTTCCCTGGAGAATGGAAGGGGGAAATGCGCCAGAGACGGAAACATCTCCACATATTTCAGTTTAGGAGTTTGCTAGACCCATCATCATCACACTATTTACCCTTTCATGGTTAAAAAAAAGGGGAGGGGGAGCTACTGATGTAAAGAAGAATAAACATACCAATTAGAAAGATTGCATCTGAAGATGATTTTCCATATTGCTGTTCCAGATATTTAGGCATGAAGGTGAACATATTAACAAATGCATTGAACTGTACAATGCTAATTAGTATGAAAAGCATATAAATTGTGTTGCACAAAAGACTTTTCATGAATGGTAAAAAATCTGAAATGAAAGAATGACAATAGTGTTAAACTAGCTTGACTGCATTTTGAAAATGACTTTTTCTAAAACATCAACCTCCCCTCTCAAATTAAGTTTTTCTGCTTATGGTACACATACTTGTTTTTGTTTTGCTTTGCTTTATTTTTTTACCTCCTGAAAGCTAAAGTTATATCACTTTGGTACCCTCTGCAAGTCAGTAATGCAGCTGACTGTGCAGGGAGCAGAACACAACTGTTTTACTATCACTAAGTCACTATTGTGTCTTAAGGAAAAACTATAACATAATCCAAATATTGTCTGTGTTCACACCAGTTTCTTTATTTTTCTTCTTTTTTTCCTTCTCTTAATATCCTCTCTTTTCTAGAGATTGCCTAGAATGAAAGATGCTTGGTCTGTTTTTTAAAGTTTAGAAGGAGATCAACTTGATCAAGTTCACACTCAAATATTTTATTATTGTTCCTGACCATTTAAAATATGTGGGAATTTATGGTATATAATTTTCTCAAGTGCCAGGTATTTTCCTACTGCCACAGAATGACAGTTTGGTCCTGCCAGTAGTTCATACTGGACACACAATGAAACCACCTAGGGATCTTTTAAAATACAAACTCCCAGGTTCTACTCTCTGAGATCTTGATTCATTTGGTACTTACTAAGGATTATGTAAATGATATAACCCAAACTTTCCGCTGTCAGTATGGACTGACACAGCTCAGGGCCAAACTTGTGACCCATTTCTTGGAAATGTTCCAAAGTCATCCTGCCACCATTTTGGGGGTAAAGTCTCACCTATAATTACTTTTCACTTTTCCTATCTTCATATTCTTTGTCTTGATTTCCTTACTTACTGTGTATTTTTTGCCCAATAAACTGGCTGGAATCCAAAGGATCAATAAATAAATTCAGAGAGAGAAGGGTGCATATCTTAATGCAAAGAAACCTATTATAGCTGTAGAATTCCTATTATGAATAAAATACATGGCAGGTGAGAAGTGCTCAGAGCACTTTGGAGATTTTTAAGTTGTCCATGTTTGTTGACATCTCTGTTCTAGTAGATAAGTCTCAGTAGTTCAAATCTCTTTTCTATATGTTGCATACTAAGTTCAGCTGTTCCCTAGTTGTGAAAACTGATCTTGCAGATCACAAACAATATTCTATGTTAAAATCTTCTATCAGTCCGTATCAACCTTTCAGAAGGAATTGTGAGTATAATCACGACCACTCTGAGAATTTTGAAAGGTTCTGAATTGGCTTCAAATGATCTGAGAAGTATTATGTTTAATAACAGTTTAAGTGAATGTGTACTTGTTAATAAAAAATTCTGTGCAAACTGGTATTATAATTTATGGGTGATGGTAGAAGTAGCATCATCAACAGTAATAACACTAATACTAGTAGCAGTAATAATAGTAATATGTGCCAGCGCTCCTTTTACTCTCACACAACAACTCTGTAATAATAAGTACTGTTATTAACCCATTTTACAGATAAGGAGACTGAATCTCTCTTCACCTTGTAAATGAACAATCTTTAAGAGTTCCAAGGCCCAGGCCATACCTCATACTAATTAAATCAGACCTCTTACTACATATACTACAATATTATTATTTTAATAATACTACAATATTTCTGGGCATCAGTATTTTTTTTGTAATTTTGCAGGTAATTCCAATATATGGACCAGTTTGAGAATCAACGTTCTTGAACATTAAATACTTAGATTACTTTAGCTTAGTTTCCCACAGAAACACTTTCTGTAAATTATTCTTTGAGCTTTTATTGAAGATGTATCCAAAAAGAAAAAAAATTGTTCTATAAAATATGCACTTGTACTTGCTGGAAACTATGTGGTTCCATTTCCATAGTGCTTGCATTATACATCATATGATAAGTTTTTCTTTTTTTTAGTGTGTTACTCGGAGAACACTCTCTCTTTGAGAATTCTTCTTCTTCTCTCTATCAAGTATGGAGAGTTCTGTGACCTCTCTTTTCTTTTTCTGCCCTAACTTGCAGGAAGCTCATAGTTAAGCTAACATTTGTTGTTATTGTTGTTTCAGAACTATACATCTATTTACAATAGTGTATATATTTTCCTCCTTTTGTTCTCTATTTGGATTCTTTTTAATTAGACCTATGTTATCTATAAAAAAGGTTTTTTTAAAGGCAAATGAGAATTTATTTAGTGCCTGAATTAACATAAGATTTTGTATATATGTTGATAACAGATAATTTGGCTTCCAAATTATGTCACTTATTTCCAAGTAGTAGCACAGGAAGACTCAGACTTGTTAGACATTATTGACTACTGACTATTAATGACAAATTATCTTAATGCACCCTAGCATGATACAGTGTTAAGGTGAAATATAGACACATTTCTAAAAAAAACAAAAAGTAAATTATATGGTATTTAGAATTTTTATATTTGCCTTTAGTGATTCCATCCTTTTCCTTCTTGACTTTTTTGCTTTGTTTCTCTTCTTTCTCATTTTTAATGATGTCTGCATTATTCTTTAGTCCTTCCTTTGGAAGCGTTTTGGGCAGAAAGAAAAAAGGAACGGCAGTGAGCACATTCACTCCTGCACAAATCAAAAAGCCAAACCACCATGCACCAACCCAACGAGTATCAGTGGGAGTTATGGTCAGATCATCTGTAAAGAAATATACACATTTTTATTAGCTTGTCATGAACTATAATTCCTTCATGAACTATAGAAAATTATTAATATTACAGTTTTCAGGTTTTATCCAAATATAGAATTTGTAAACAACTTAGACATTCATAAAATTTGTCCGATGGTAAGTGGTATTACAATATTGCCTAGCAATAAATTATTTTGGTTCTCTGTCCTCTCCTGTAGGAAATTTATAAAAAAGGTACTTATTAAATAACTATAAACTCTAATTACATATAAATAATAATTTGATTAAAAGAAATTCAGACCTATGTTGTCTTTATATCTCTTGAGAAAAGGAAACATGGTTGTGGCACAATAGAAAGAGCACTGGATTTTGAGCCAGAAGGTCAACATTTTAATTTGTTTTCCTGCCCCCTGGTTTGAAATATTTGAAAAATTATTTAAACTCCTTTACTCCAGTTGGCACACATGAACCCACTAAAGCAAGAATGACCTGTGATAACATAACTGGAGGTGATTTGTGTATTCTAGACACTATAAATAAATTTTATTGAATTACCTGTGTTCACAGATCCAGTGTCAACATAAACATTTGCACAGAATGATGCTAACAAAAGTCCAATCAAAGGACCAACGATAGCTCCTGTTTCTACAAACCCTAAAAATAAATGAAAATATAAAGTTATAGTATAGTTATATACCCACATAAAGAGTCCTAATTCCATAAAGAGTCTGAAGACGCATTGTTTGTGCCTCAGATATATTTGCCTTAAGCTTCCAATTTGTAAGAAAATTAAGCTTGGTGTACGGATAAGTAAAAAGTTTGTTTCTGTTAATGTGGAGAAAAAAAACCTCAATATTTAAAGCCACATTCTCTAGTCCTCCAAATTCTTTTGTGTGATAAATCGCAGGTAAAATCTGCTGTAGCAGCATTGGCTAGGATCATGCTGTTGACAAAACCACAACACAGAGTGAGATTCTTTTGCTGCTTTCCGTAGGCACAGTTTTGGAGGAATTCCAGACCAACACCACGTTATGATAATTTTCTCATGACATGTTCCTCAGAAAACCTTCACTCCCACATCTCTGACTTGAAACCTCTTCTTCTGGCTATGTTCTCACTGTTACTGATACTTCTCTTCTTTGATCATGATCTCCTTTCTTATCCTCCACATTCTTGCCTTCTATTCTCATCAATCCCCTCTGCCCTCACGACTTCTTACTCATCTGGAATTTCATCATCGGTGAGTTCATGGCCTACCTGCGATTTAGAATCAAGGCTGAGCCATCCCTACTGCGGAAAACACAGACATAACCTTCTTCAATGTGCTGCTCCTTCCTTCAAAATATGTCTTCTGCCTTCTCCATGGTTCCATAGGCTACCCCCCATCCACAGACCTGACTACTTGACCTCAACCCCTTCTATCTTCTCTGAGGTCTTGCTCAACTAGACATGTTTTTTTGTGTGTGTGCTGGTTTGGTCTTCCCTGTTCACTGATTACAATATCTCACATATCCACCCTGCTTGCTTTCATTTCACTGCTCTGCATTTACAGCCCCACCACTTCCTGAATCTACTCAAATCCTTCCACATTCTTCTCAAAATACTTGCAGGTAGCACCAGTGTCCTTTTCGCCACTTATTTGGTGTCCTTTTCTGGTCTCCATTCTCCTAACTCTTTATGTTATTTGACACTGCAGGCTAGCTCCCCTTTTGACATTTCCTCCTAATACTTTCACTAAACTATGCATTTATTGTTTACTTTTTCCCTTGTTACTACTCCTTTGATTTTTTTCTTCACATTCTTCTCAATAACTAAAAGTGTTCCTTGGTGTTTTAATGTAGAATTTCTCACTAACTCATTTCTATCTCTCTCTTTTTTAAAAATTTTATTTATTTACTTGAGAGAGAGAGAGCATGAGAGGGGAGAGGGTCAGAGTGAGAAGCAGACTCCCTGCTGATCAGGGAGCCCAATGTGGGACTCTATCCCAGGACTCCAGATCATGACCTGAGCTGAAGGCAGTCGCTAAACTAACTGAGCCGCCCAGGTGCCCACTCATTTCTCTCTTAATTTCATTTGTTTTCTCTATGTAAGTGACTCTCAACATTCATTTCTACTTTTCTGTTCTCTCCTAAACTTCAAAGTCATACATGGAACTATTTTCTCCCATTGTGTAACTTATTGATTTATAGTTATTTAATTATATGCATGTGTACATTTATTTATTTCATTTTTTAAGTATGATTTTTTTCTCTAATTTAATTACACACAAGTATTTATCAGATTTGGTTGATTTATAATTATGTAGTTATTTATAAACTAAAACTTATATGGACTATGTCTTATTCATCTTAGTACATATAGAGATTATTACTATTATTTCCATATATTATACACCCTAGTATTTATTGAATAAAGAAACACAGATTATAACAAGGTGTTTGTTGATTTATTGCAGGCAAGCATTTGTATTATTTCAAGATAAATATTTGTATTCTTTCAAGATAAATAAGGGATTTGAAAAGACAGAAAAGAAAAACATCATAAAAGCTTATTGAAAAATCAATGAATGAGCAAAAAGTGCCAAAGATTACTTGGGGTAACGTCCTCTAAATATTTGATCTATCTCAATTATGTATAACTCTGCTCCAATTTTCTTTCACCCTCTTTGACATTTCTGATTCTTAAAATATATGTCTACATTAATAGCAAAATATGTCCAAACTAAAAGCTACACTTTTATAAATAACAACAGATTGAACAAATAAAGAACACAAATAAGCTATTCATAATAAATTAAGAAGATTTAGGAGATTAGTAGACTACATAAGAAGGCAGATCCTATTTTGGTTATTGTGGGAGGTGACATTGATTGATTTTAGAAAAGGAAATTTCAAGAAACATAACCAAAAGTATGAACCAGATATTTATGAAGAATCTGAAAAAGCCTGACTAGCATGGAGAGATTGTGAAGAAACCAAACAGACTGAGTAGTAATTGGAGAGATTAGATTTAGTAAAGAAAGAGCTAGTATGTTTTATTGACATGGTAAGGAAGACATGATTAAAACATTATTTGAGAAAAAATATACTGCAAGCGTGTTTATTAGAAATTGAAAGAAAAAGCTAGTGATAACATGACCAATGAAGATGTTATAATAATCTATAGATGAAGTAATAAAGACCCAAACAAAAATAGAGGTAATGAAAATAGTGAGAAAGATTTTGAATGTAAGAGACATTTTAAAGAAAACATTGGTAAGTCACTTAACAGACTTGGTATAGAATGGTGTCAAGGAAATGGATGAGTCAAAGAGAACTCCAGGGGTACTAGATGAGTGGTATTTTTAATAGCAAAAAGCAGAGTTAGAAAAGAGGCTTATTTGGAGTTAGCTCAATTTGGTAAACTTTTATTGATGACCAGCTGTACCAAGGTACTCTTCTCCTCATTCTGGAAATCACTGAGTCCAAGTAACTGACATCCACCTGTAAGGAACTTCCTTTCCTGAGAAGAGGTTAAGGCAGATTTTCAAACTCACCAATATATAAAGGAGAGTTTTCAGATTTGGCAAAATCTTCTATGTAGGAAATACCCAAAGGCATGATGGGAGTTTCTCCAATTCCACGTATGATATTTCCTACTAGTACATACACCCACATTAATGATTTCACTTCTTTCACACAGTCTGTATTAAGGACAAAAAATATTGTATTAGTGTTTTGGTAGTAAAGTATCAGTAATACTTAATTCTAGATTTTTGGTCAACATTTCAATTCTTTTCTTTTTTTTTTTTTTTAAGATTTTCTTTATTTACTTGACAGACAGAGATCACAAGTAGGCAGAGAGGCAGGAAGAGAGAGAGGAGGAAGCAGGCTCCCTACGGAGCAGAGAGCCTGATGTGGGGCTCAATCCTAGGACCCTGAGATCATGATCTGAGCCGAATGCAGAGGCTTTAACCCACTGAGCCACCCAGGTGCCCCAACATTTCAATTCTTACATGACATGGCATCTTGTCAATGATTTATACTACTATGTCAGCTATGCATTATTGGACCATCCTATTTGCATTTTCTGACAGGGTACTTAGGTATGGCCAAATGTAAGTGGTATATTGGAGCTAGTTCCTACTGTGTTGGAATAGATGAGTGGTATACACATCTCTTTTCAATTTAGTATTTAATGCAAACACATTGGTAGTTTGATGGCAGTATTTACACACACAGATTGACAAACAGTAAAAGCCATAAACTTTTCCCTCCAGAGAGACAGTCTATCAGCACCTACTGAACCCAGCTGGCTGCTGTGAGAGCTACCCCACTTCTGTACTAACTTAGGGAAGAGAAAAAAACAAACACAAATATCTCTTTCTAGAATTGATACTGTGAGATTTCAATAAGAATCTCTCTGAAGTTTGAATTCTCTACAGCTCTAATTACTTTATAGAAACTAAAAATATTTAATCAGGTAGTAATCACATTTTCTCTATAGAACCTACTGCATACTGTTAACCACCAAATAATTTTTAACAGAGAAACCAACCCCAATCCTTGAAGCAGCGCTGCTCAGTAGAGTAACAAAGAGTAGGCCAAAGGGAATGAAAGGGAGGAAGATAGGCAGTTGTCTGAAAACAGCCAATTCTGTTCTAAGCCTATATGGCTATCAAGCCAGGAAGACACTCTTTAGGGTCATGTTTTCAGAAAAGTGAATGACAATTTATTTTTGTCTCCTACAATCTGCCCAGGTACCCATAGATATGAGGCTCCTGAGCTCAGCTGGGCCTGGAAATACCTTGTGAGGTTTATCTCTCAGTTATTCCCAGTCCAGAAAATCATAATGCCCATTTCTGGGTATTTCCCCCCCTACCCCATGGTGAGCACAGTGTCTAGAGATCATGGGCAAATTCTAGGCCTACTCCAGGACAAAAGTTAACATGTCAGGTGATTAAAGTATTAATGTACTTTTCTGGAAATTCACTAGACTGGGAAGGTTTTGATTTATCTACTACAATGCAGATTTAAAAAAAAAATAGGAAATAGGACCTAGGTCAGCCTTTGGAAAAAGTCAGTTCAAGAAAAGAATAGAGGCCACCATTGATGTCACAGGGTTTTTTTGTTTGTTTGTTTGTTTCCCCAGGGAGTTGCTTTGGCTTAGAGTTTCTGAGACAGCTATTCTTACACTCCTTGAAACTGTTTAGTTTCCTCTGATTCCATGCCAGCAGTGAAATTCCCAGCCTTGGGGATGAATATAACTCCTACTGATATGAATCCAGCATAAAAATGTCCCCATCAGAGGAAGAGAAGTTCTGGTCTGAAGTAAATCAGTGGGTTAGTTCCAGACTAAGCATCACCAGATGATTATATAGGTCCCTTCACATATGAAGGAGCAGAAGCTGGCATGTTGGTGTCTGGGACTGCAGGAAGCCAGAAGAAGCACCGCTATTGTGTCAGGATATAAATTAGTATCTCTGGTAAAGAGGAAGAAGTAGAGCAGAAAGAGAAGGTCCTAGTTCAGCAGAAAGAGAATAGAGTAAATCAGAGTCACAGCATACTTGCCTGCTTTCTCTGCTATAGAAGACCTGTGTTATAACACAGATCTTTTTGTTTCTGTTACTCATTTACAAATCATCAGCATAAATCCTCTTTCTAAGATGTTTTCCTCTGTGGAATTAACTCTAAGTGGTCCTTGGATGGATGTCTTTGACTTATTTTTAACTAACCATTTCAAAGAATAGATAAGACATTCTTATTAAGTCTATTCAAATATGAGAGGAATAACATTTAAATTACAGGCCATTTCTATTTCCCTCCATGATCTCCTCCAAAATCTCTGAAAAAAAATTTTCTTTTGTTCATTTACCTTACTCACTTAACCAAACGTAATAACATTCAAAGCCCCTCAGCAGAAAGTGTTCAGTTACAAATTCACTGAACAGAAAGCAGTACAATGAAGTAGACAACCTGATGGATCTTCTGTTGGTCTGAAAATCTGGGTTCCATTTTCCATACACAAGAAACTGTTTGAGGACAAATTGCCTGAAACTGAAACTGTAGATTCATATTCATATCTGTATGAACACAGGGAAAACATGGTGATGTTAAGGAGCCAATGAAGACAATGTGAGCATTGTGCAGATTAACTCCTGCTTCACTTAAGACACAACATCTAAATCCAGGAAAGATTTCTTTTCATTTTGCCACCTAATTATCATAAATTAATATAATCAAAAATAATTTGCCACTCACTGTCAAGGTACAATCCCATGACAGCTAGCTTTCAATTATCTGTATGTGAATGATCTACCTTTTAAATCATCTGACATTAACTTTCAGTGGTTTTTAGGTGATCATTTCCTGGAAATAATTACTGTGGGAGAAGGAACAGAAACCAAGAAAAATAATAGACTCAACAAAATATAATTAAAGGCTTTTGGGGGAAAAAAACAACACAACAAAACAGGTCTCCCATTTCTGAGAATCCAAACAATAATCCCTTCATGTGTTCATTAGTGTCCTCAGAGAAACAAAACATGTACCCATCATAATGAGAAACCTTAGGAGAATCTCAAACACTGTGGCAGCACAATGTAATGACTTTTTCTTTTCTCATTAGAACAAAAGTGTTAATAATCTGTGACCATTATCTTAGGCAAATTACCACAAGATCCACATGCCTTTTCCCAGAAAGAAAATTACATGCTGCAACAATGGAGGAAAACATGTCCAGGTCTCTTTGTTAGAAATTGCACTGGGTTGGTTTCTATATTTCTATTAGAGAAGAGAAAGCCAAAGAAAACTTGCCTCTCTGAGTTTCAAATAAGCTAAAGAGTGTTATGCTTGGATGTCACCAAAAGTCCTAATCATTGTGTTACAGAACACAATAAAAAGGGTTAAAATACAGAGATACCCATAGAATTTGGCTATGAATTGTGGACAAAGGCTTCTGTCTCCAAGCCCATGATCCTATGAGACATGGGAGCTTCAGACAAAAAAAAAAAAAAAACAAAAAACAAAAACCTTTGATAGAGTGTAGAAAGAAATTAAAATAATAGCTGAATATTACTTGCTTCTCCTTGAAACCTCTGATACCTTCAGAAATAACTGAAAGTTGGAGTATCTTTTTCATTTAAATTATTTCTTAAAACCCAGTAACTCATTCCATGTCCATTCATTCCCCAAACATCCCCAAATGGGTAGTAATGGATTTTAAAATAGGAAAGGAAAAAAACACAATACTATGCAGATAAAGAGAAGGGAGGATTTGACAAGAAGAGAGAGTTTAATAGGATTTTGAAAATAAAAAAGCAGATAAGTGAATGATCACTGAAATTGTGGATATGAGAAACATAACCCCGAGTAAGTGGTTATAGGAGAGCAACTAAACACATGCCATACAAACCTGGAAAGCTTCAGGCAAGAAACAAGATACTTCTAATGTGAGAGTATGCATGGTCCCAAAAGAGGATTGCCTTAAAGTGTGTATAAGGAGCAGTTAAGCCCTTATAGACATCCTCTGCCATCGCAACTGATTATGGCCTTTGTCTCTAGAGACTAAATAGATACTGAGGCTAGGGAAGCCATGCTAAAAACTACAGACATTAGGATAAAAAAATCTACATACTGAAAATCAAGATTCCCACCCCCATGTGCTGGTAGCCAAGCTCCAACCTCCCAGAAAACAAATTAGAGAATCACCACCTAAGAAAAACTCACTGTTTAGGGGCAGTTCTAAGCCACCTAAAAAATAGCCAGTCCCTATACAATCACCCTACAAAGAAGTCCTCCATTAATTAAGCCTTATACACATACACAGAACTTCCAGTTAGCTTGTTGTTGTTATTCCTCTTTCTTAAATATGACTAGATACCCGAGAACCACCAGATATGCGGGGAAAGCCTGTAACAGTAAAGATAGAGACAGAAACAAATAAAAACTGTACACTCACAGAAAACAGAGACAATGAAGTGAGATGAAGAAAATTTAGACAAAGAAAATTTACAAAAGGACATTGCATTCTTGAAAGAAGAACAAAATGTTCCTTAAAAAGATACAGTCAAGGATCAAAAGAGTTGTTGAAAATTTAAACTGTGATAGCAAATGTTAGAAATTCATTCAGAGCTTTGGAAGATAAAAATGTCTCCCAAAAAGTTACAAAAAGATGAGGATATAGAAAATTGGAGAAAAAAAGATGAGAAATATATAAACTTAATCCAGTATGTACAGAATTCAAATAGTAGAAGTTCTAGAAAGAGAAAATGGGGAGGAGGTATATCATCAAAGAAATAATACATGTAAGTTGTCCAGATTGAAGGCACCTAGCACAATAGAAGAAAAAGATTTATACCAAGATAGTTATGATGAATCCAGACTCCGGAGCTTAAAAGAAAACCCCAGTAGTTCCCAGAGAAAAGAAACTGGTCATAGGGATTAGAATGGCATAAGAGTCTCAATAGTAACATTGGAAACTAGAAAACATTGGAATGATGTCTCCAAAATCGTTAGGAAGATATTTCCAATCTAGAATTTTATATCAGCCAGGCTATCAATCAAATATGAGAGTAGAATAGAATATTTTCAGATGTCCATGGTCTTAAAATTTCTACTTCTTTTACATACTTTTTCAGAAACCTATTAGATTGTGTTTTCCACAAAAAGGAGTGAGAGTAAAAAGTAAAGCAGAAGATATGATAGCCAGGATATAAGTTAACTAAATGGAGAATAGAAGCAAACAAATTCCAAGAATAACAGTGAGGGAAGATTTCAAGGGAAGAGCCATGCACCAAGCCTGGGGAGATTCCCATTCAGACTGCAGACAAAGACTTGATGGTGACATAGAACTATCTCTAAGACAAAAATGAGACCCTGTGATATGTATGAGCATTTTGAGATGTTGCCCTATCAGTGGAGACTTTGCTGATGATTAGTGAGAGATTAAAAAGAAATAAATAAAGAAAGAAAATGACTCAAGTAAAAAGGGAACAATTATTAAATCCAAGGAAAATAAAGATGATATAAGAAAGGAATAACAACATGGTTCAGCAATGAAAGACACTTACATAGTACATGGAAATAGTGAATATAATTTTATAGCAGAAAATCAATATATGTTACAGAACACAAAAGTATTAACAACTAAAAAGATGAACATTTACTTAGAACCATGGAGACAAATAGCAGAAGAAAGTACTAAAAGATTTGCAAGTAGCTACTCATGGAAAGCAGTAATATGAACAATGTTGAAGGGATAGGGGACAACTCTTTTTTCAAAATAAATTTAATTTTACAAGTTGGTGCACATATTACTTTGGTAAAAATTAAAATAAAAACCATCCTTCAGACTGGTCTGTCTCTTAGTGACCTACATACAAGTAAACAGAATCTCATTGTAATTAGAAGTGTCTAAAGACATTTTCCCAGGTCCTAAGACTCTTTTCATCAGACTCCACTCCATAAAGTCCCAAATCTCTGTTTCATAGATGGAGATAATGTGACTATGTAAGTGAAGCAAGGAAGCCTAGAGCCCAACTGACTTGTGGAACAAAATCTGCATCTTTCAGCTCCCATTGCTGTGCTATGTGCTTTTAGGAAGTATTGTTCCTAGAAAGGGAATTTCAAGTTTCATTTCATGCAGCCAAAAGTTGAACATAAAAAGTCACCAGAAACTGGAATACTTACCGGTCCATGAGGAAATGAGGTAGAGATTGTAAGAAACACCCTAGGCCCATAACCACACATCCAACACCAATCAGTATAGGTCTATGTAATTTGGTTCCAAAATAACTCACAAATATAATCAACAAAAGATTTCCTAGGAAAAAATTAAGATAAAAATGAATATCTTAATAAGCATGATCAATAGCTTAGCTTCATCCAGTCATTTACTGTCTGGCATTTATTGTATAAAAACTATTTTGAGTACCAGGACTGGTGCTAGCAATGCATAAAGCAGTAAATGAATAAGACACAACTCCTGCCTTGAAGAATGACTCTGTTTCACAATCTCAACAGATATGTAAACAGATCTCTGTGGAACACAAATATGTAAGGAGGGCAGGGCACCTGGGTGGCTCAGTGGGTTAAGCCGCTGCCTTGGGCTCAGGTCATGATCTCAGTGTCCTGGGATTGAGTCCCACATAGGGCTCTCTGCTCAGCGGGGAGCCTGCTTCCCTTCCTCTCTCTCTGCCTGCCTCTCTGCCTACTTGTGATCTCTCTCTGTCAAATAAATAAATAAAATCTTTAAAGAGGGCAGAAGAGAAGCCATTGGAAGGGACTGAGCAATGGTTCTAAGAGATGTTAAAGACTGTGTGTGTGATTATGTAGCTTAGAAAAATGGGATACCAAAGTACGTGTTAGACTTTATGTCACCTCTGGCCTTTCTCTCCATGTCTGCTCCATGCTTGAAAAGAGAAGCCAAAGTCAAATTCAGATAGATATATGTTTAACTCATGATTTAAATATAACCAACCCAGAGATCTCTAATTTTACTTCTACCCTTAGAAGTAAAAAATAGTAGGTCCTCACTTCTCCAACTGGGTCTTAGAAGTAAGTCTTGCTTTGAGAAGTCAATTCAATAATAAATTTATCCACGTCTTAGGATGAAGTTTAAGGATAAAGAAACTAAATGTGGAGGCCCCATTCTAAGGGACAAGCCCTTGATAAGAATGACATAAAAGGTTGTAAGAACAAAACACATGAGGAAGTTCTCATATGATACATTTAAAATTTAGTAATCAATATTTTCCCTGATCCTACTCTGCATAGGAAAACTTCTATGATGAGCTTGAGAACTATAAAAATTTAAAAAACTCTCCCTTAAGTTTTTAATAATTTTCCAAGTAGTAGTGCATATTTTGAAGACTTTTCTTTCCATATCTGTTTCTCTCTAGTCTGCCTTATAAGAAGAAGAGATGTCAGTACCTACATTCTTTCATGTAGACAGTGCCCCACCAAGTGCTACCACAGTGACCTCCCTAGGTTTCTAAAATCCCCATCATCAAAGCCATCCATGTTGAAGGTATTATCTCTAGAAATCCACCATTGGAAATCCATATCCATTTTGGAAACAAGAAGAGAGGAAGAGCCTCCTCTCCACGTAAGGGTGAGCTTTTCAAGCTGCCTCTCTCAGTCGGTAAAATAATCACATGAGATGGAATAGAAATGGATAGATAAGATTTTATGAAGGGTATGGAGAACATGGTCTATAAAAATTACTGAGGAAAGGTAAGCAAACTAATGCCGCTTTATTGGCATCTGTAAATTGCCTTTCCTCTTCCCTTCAGCCATTATTTCAGATCTTCATCATTCTTCTCAAGCCACCTATTGCCACTCACTTTCCATAGTCAATACTTCCTACTTTGTCAAGAAATTTGGGGCAGTCATGTTTCCCACCTTACGGCCTTACATACTTCCTTCAGTTTCAGAGGTTGTGGTGCCCATCTGACCATCCAAAGTCCAACACCCTATCTAGGCACTCCCATTCTCTCCAGCAACTTACTCCAAGAATTAAAATCTCTCTCATACAATTTAAGTCTCTCTTTCTCTGCTGTGTTTTAATTACAGATATTCTCTAGTTTCTCTCCAAACCGACAGTCACCTGTAGTCACAGATTCCACTTCTTCCCCTCCCCTTCTTTCCCAAAGTCATTGCGCTCTTCCTGCCTTCTAGCTTCTCTATCTACTGTTCAGGTAGATAGAGCCCTGGCCAACATCATAATTATCATACCATAAAACCTGGGGTATAGTTTTCTATTCTTGTCTAATTGGATATGTCTAACACTTTTGAGACTGCTGACAATTTTTTCTTTTGGAAATTTCTACTCCTTTGGTATCTATCATTATATTCTCTCCTAATTTCCCTCTTAATTCTCTGATTATTCCTTCTCTTAACACTTTGGTGGGCTCCTTTCTTCCACTTGTTCCTTAAATATTGGTGCACCTCAGGGATCTACCTTTTGTCCCTGGTACTTATCTTTCTTTACCATCTCCCTAAATAGCCTCATCTGTTCTTTACTTTTAACAACTACTGGCTTACTCAGTAATCAGTAGCTCCAGCTCAAACTGTTCTCCAGTGCTTCTAGCTCATATAACTGCCATGCAGACATCATTACTCAAAGAGCTCACTGCTAATACCACAAATAGTTTGCGTAAACAGAAATCATCATCATCCTCATAGCCACCAGCACAATCTCGTCCCCCTTCTCCTATTCTCTGTGCCAGTACCACTATCCACTCCACTGCCCAAGATGTAAATCTGGGGATACCTGCTTTTCTCATCTGCCACATCTAATCTTCCACTAAGTTCTCAGGAACCTAACTCCTCAGTATTTTGTAGGTCACCCTCTTCTCTGTATTTCTATAGTATGATCCTGACTCAGACCCAGACAGCTCTCTCTTGTGCTTTTGTGTTATCCTGTTAGGATCCTCTCTGGTTGGCTGGCCACCTTTAAATGTATCTCTAACATAGTCACAAGCATGGCCTTGATTAAAAGCAAATCTGACCTTTGGTTTTTTGTTTTGTTTTTTTCATTTTATTTATTTATTTGACAGAGAGAGAGAGAGATCATAAGTAGGCAGAGAGGCAGGCGGGGGCGGGGGGACAGACTCCCTGCTGAGCAGAGAGCCCAATGCAGGGCTTGATCCCAGGACCCTGAGATCATGACCTGAGCCGAAGGCAGAGGCTCAACCCACTGAGCCACCCAGGTGCCCCTGACCTTTGTTTTAAATAGCTGCTCTTAACCTGTGGTGTATAAACAAACCTCCAAGGAGTCCATGAATAGAAATCAGGGGTTCCATGAACTTGAGTGAGAAAAAAAAGTTGTGTCTTTTATTTTCACTAAGTTTTAATTAAAATTGATATTAACATTTTCTTTGATAGTGAGAGTAGGTATAAACTATGTAGCATTAACAGTACTTAAGATTTTGTCACAGATTGTCACCAATAGAAGTTATAGATATTTGCTTATGATACTACAGTTGTTGCAGATACCTCAAAATATCAACCCTACTTATTACTTAAAAAATTAGTGTAGATATTATATTTAGTATGTTAGTAAGCACAAATATTACTATATGACAGTCATTTTAATATTTTGATAACTTTACTCAGTTTTTTTTTACTTTTATAATTTTTATTTTATGCAAATTCCATAGCAAGCACACAAGGCTAACCATAGTCCATTTCTCACCCCTGCCCATTTCTCTAGGCTCCTATCTTAATAAATTCCACATAAGCTTTGTGAGTCAATAATATTGGGCTGAATGTTACTCCCCATACAAATTACTAAGCTATCTCGCCCTTAAGCTTTTTCTATTGAAATTCCCTTCACATACATCCTTGTTTCTTCACCTAGAAAGCTTTTTACTTATCTTTGAACATCTTCCCCAAGTAAGGCTGTGTCCCTGATGTGCGTTCTTATAGGACTTTGCACCTACCTATACCACCAAACTTACTGCATTCAATTGAAATTATTATTGTACATCAATGCCATCCCTTAGATTGTGAGCTGGGTCCAGGCTGGACTGTATAAAGAGTTATATCTTTTCTCCATCCCCAGGATCCAGCGCATGAGTGGTGCAGAGTTGTGTCTGGGGGAGGGGAGTGTGTGGTTAAACACTAGGAGACAAGATCAAGCATCACCTGTTTCAGTTTTCCCTCTCCTCAAACCCAATTTTTCTTCCAGATATTGATTAAGTATATTAAAGATAACTTGCACCTTGGAGGAAGTAGAAGCTACTCTAAAACTGTGAAAGAAAGGCGTTCATAGTTCTACGCAGCTTTGTTTACAGGAGAAGTCTTTTTCTTCCTCATTCTTCCTGTGTCTTCACATCTTCCCAGTCCTCCACAAAAAGCAGACAGTAAGAATAGATTCTATTCTTTCCTAGAGTCTGTTTCTGAAATAAATTCAGGGAGATAGAAAAACAGTTTCTTTTTCCTTCTGCACTTAGAAAGAATTGTTAACTTCCCAGAAACAGCAGAAGAAAAATATTCATGTTTTCCTTTAGAAAACAGATTCCTTTGTTTTCCATGATGTGTATCTTCTAAATAGGAAGATGGAGCTTTTAAAAATTATCAAATGATAGATTAGATACAAAAATTCTTCTAGTATGCTACTCATACTAGATAACCAATAACTATTACAGTAAAAATTCCGATGGTGAGATATGTGGCAATATTTGATTATTATTTGGGGGATAATATTTAAACTAATTGTTTCTATGAATATTCCAAAGTTAGCAAGGCTATTCATTCCTTTTGGAAAACATGTTACTCAGTTAGATTAGATGTCCTAAGATTACAAGTAAGGAGAATAAAATTCAAAGTAGCTTTATAGATAAAATAAAATATAAAAAGAAGTAATGCAAAAATAATTCATTACCAATCTCAAAGCTTCCGTTAATAAATCCGACTAGAGATGTAGGGATGTTGAATTGTCTCTCTATTTGTGTGAGCATGGAATTCATATAAGATCCAGAGAGTGTTTTGGATACAAATGCACATGTTATTGCCAGAAGAAACATCTATGGAGAAAAAAATGTGAGAAAACACAGGAAAAGTTTATTTTTGATCATGTATGTTTATATTTGCCACCTGTTGACAAAATATCTTCTACCATAAGACTGATTATCTCCAAGATAAGTAACTCTTGAATATGCAAGAAACTTTTAATGTGGTCCATTCTTCTGGTCTTTCATGCCATGTTATCTCTGAAAACTCAAAGTGGGACTGAATTTTGTAGGTAGTTGTAGCCTCGTTATTTTATAGGCACATCTTGTATATACACAGAGACAGCCATTCTAAATAAGATATAGCTAGTAGTTTTAAATAGATCTTCAGCACAATAATGCTATCTGTAGTACAAAGAAGACATATACGATAAGAAAAAAAGGAACATGGCATTACACAAAGACATTATTTCTATAGCAAATTTGCTCAGGCTCTCTCCAAAATAATAGGTAAGTCATGCAACATTAGATCGCTGCTCACTCCCAGTTTATTTATTTAAAACCATGTTATATGTTATAATATATTTACGTATATTATAATAAGTAATTAATAAAAATATTTCTAAACTGACCAAGTATTTGCTATAAGAAGAGAATATGAATACAATAAATTTCCATGCATTGAATTACATTTCCTGTATACTGATATAGTTTCAAAGGACAGGTTGATGGGATCCATTAAAAAAAAACAAGGACAACTTAACAAATAGAATCATTGTAATCACCAAAAGCTAGTATGGTCTCAATAAAAACATGGAAAAGTAAAAATTTTGGTAGTTTTATTAAATTAGAAAGAAACAGACTTAAATTTCAGTAGAGGATTTGACAAAGGAGTCTTAAATAATGGGTAATAGTATAGTTAGGTAGATTAAGCACTGCTTCAACACCAACAAATTAGTGATGAATAGATTTAGGTCATCTTGAATGATGGTTTCCAACCCTATGCCATAGACTTTTTCCTTGGTCCCACTTAAATACGTTTCCTGATGACATTTCCATCCTGGGAGACTGTTCAGTCTATGCTCAGCATACTCAAATCCCTAAAATCCTCACCCCTCCACCTGCCACTTTCCCATTCTTGAACCAACCCCTCAATTTATATTACACCTGTACAGACCCTTCAAAATTATTAACAATCTTTTCTACTTCTCAGTCTTCAACCCAGTCAGGAACTTTCCATGACCAGCAAATGATCTCTGCAACAGTCATCATCAAACTTACCTCCATCTCTTCCTCTCTAATTCCCCTCCTGCCTTTGAAGGATAGGTGTCCCTTTTCCATTACAATAAAATCCCTCTACCCATGCTTTTTGAATCCATTCTTCCCATTTGAGATTATGATTTATCAATAAATACTCTCTCCTCTATTTCCAACCTCACACCCTTTACTGCCTCTCTCCCCACTATAAATATATCTAAGATATTTCTGTCTTTAAAAAAATATTTTTTTTCCTTAACCCCTGATAGTTGCTACTCCAGCTAACACCAGGCTATTTGGAAGAATAATGTAGGTTTACTGCCTAGACTCTAACCTTCCATTCACCCTTTAGTTCCCTACTGTCTGTCTTCTCCTGAAGCTACTCCATGAAGGGTCAAAAACAACTTCTTAGTTTCCATGTTCAATAGATACTTCTCAGTCCTCAACTAACCTGTTGTCTCTGAATGATTTGGCCCCACTAATCACTCTTTTCTTCCTGAAATTCCCTACCCCCGTGTATACCTAAATGTCCACCTACCTTCTAGACTCTTTCCATTCAGTCTTCTCTTTGGCCAGCCCCTTCAGGATTTGTCTTATACCTTCTACTCTTTGTGCTATATGTGCTCTCCCTAAGAAATCTCACTTATTCCCATAGCTTTCCCTATCACCCATATGCTGAAATCTCTCAAATGTACACAGTTTAGCTGAGATAATTGCCAGCATTCCTTAGTTGCCTCTAGTCTTGTCCATACCTACACTCCCTCCACTTGCCACCACCACTAATTTGGAGCTTAGTAAATATCTGTCAAATGAATTAATAAATGTATAACTAGCATGTGATTTCACTTCTTAAAATGTTTTAGTGATTTCCCATAAACAAAAATCTCTACTTTTTTAGATGACAAAAAATGTCTCATCTATATCTCAGGATCATCTCCTGCTGCTTGTCCCTGGACATAATGTACTACTTACAGCTGCTTCTTCTGCTTCTTCTTCTTCTTCTTCTTCTTCTTCTTCTTCTTCTTCTTCTTCTTCTTTTTTCAGTTTTCCAAGATTCATTGTTTATGCACCACACCCAGTGCTCCATGCAATATGTGCCCTCCTTAATACCCACCACCGGGCTCACCCAAGCCCCTACTCCCTCCCCTCCAAAACCCTTAGTGTGTTTCTCAGTGTTCACAGTCTCTCATGCTTTGTCTCCCCTCCGATTTCCTCCAGCTCACTTCTCTCCCTCTCCCAATGTCCTTCGTGTTATTCCTTATGCTCCACAAGTCAGTGAAACCATATGATAATTGACTCTCTCTGCTTGACTTATTCCACTCAGCATAGTCTCTTCAGTTCTGTTTACTTACAGTTTCTTAATTCACCATGCCATTTCATGTCTCAAGAGCCTTTTACAGGATGGTATTCCACTTGTAAAGTTTTTCTTCCCCTTATGCATCTGATAAATGTATACTCTATTTCAACTATCAACTCTATCATCATTTCTATTGTGGAGCCTTCCTCGTCTCTCTCCTCCCCAGGCAGCCTTGACTACTCACTCATTACCTACCTGCTGTATACTGTCTCTATTGTAGCTCTTATCATAATGCACGTTATGTATGTGCTTGGATGCCTATAACCTCCTCCCTCACTATACTGTGAATAATTCAAATATAGGATTCATATATTATTTACCTTTGTATCTTTGGTGTCTAATAAATACTTAAAGACTAGTAGGAACTCAATACAAGTTTGCGGAATGAACGACAGAATAACTATTCAACAACATCCTGAAGAAGTGGTCAGAGCTGAAAGTAGGTTGAATATAAGATGAAATATAATAGAATTAAATAAATACTCCTAAGCTGAGTTGGCTATGCCAATTCATTTGGAGAAATCTGAATAGAAATTTATGTGAAAAAGACCTGGGGGATTTAAATAGCAAGCTCAGTATGAGTCAAACCTGTTACTTGGCTGAGAAGATAATATGGCTTTATCTCTAGTTATTTATTCTTTTATAGTAAATGTCATTTATAGAGACCAACTTCACAGTATAAATCTTTGCAGAGCACATGACTGAGAATAAAAAATTTCATATGATTTTATAACTCAGAGTTTTATATTTAAAAGTAAGGTCTACCAAGTAACATGTGAATCATATTTGGGAGAATAATTTAATTTTTTTACAATTTAAGGAAGGAAACTAGGTGAATCATGACCCCATTGTTTTTTCCTAAAACACCTAGATGGGTAGCCGAAACAGTTTGGTTCTAGTCACAAAGTGAAAGCAACTCGTGGCTATTCTGACTCATATCTGGTGCAAAATAACCTCTATATTTATGTAGCTAGTCTTACTAGCATTTAATAGTACTGCCCGGAGTTCGAAGTAAACTTATTTTGAGTACAGTCTTCTGATGCTTTCTAAAGAATTTTGTTTAATATGCATATTTCTAAGTTCAGAGAAGCAAAAAAAAAAAAAATCTGACTATTAGGCATTTGGAATCCAATTTTACATGATAAACTTGTCCTCTCAATATTTTTGCATAACATGAACATCAATATCTAATCTTGCCAAACTCCAAAGTAAGCAAATATTAAATTAAGAGCAATTGTTTATAAATAACACCTGACTTGACTTTTTTAAATTTAAATTCAATTAGCCAACATATAGTAGTACATCATTAGTTTCAGATGTAGTATTCAATAATTCATTAGTTGCATATAACACCCAGTGCTCATTACCACATGTGCCCTCCTTACTGCCTATCATCCGGTTACCCCATCCCCCTACCCACCTCCCCTTCAGCAACCTTTAGTTTGTTTTCCAGAGTTAAGAGTCTCTCATGGCTTGTCTCCCTCTCTGATTTCTTCCCATTCAGTTTTCCCTCCCTTCCCTTATGATCCTCTTCACTATTTCTTTTATTCCACATATGAGTGAAATCATGTGATAATTATCTTTCTCTGATTGACTTACTTGACTTTTATACTATTATAAAATGCTATTAATTTTTCTTCCAAGTTTTTATTTAAATTCCAGTTAGTTAACATATGTTATCCATAATAATAGCTAATATATATTGAATGTTTACAATATTCTAGTCATTTTTCCAAGTTTGTAAAGGGTAAAAAATCCTATGAAATAGGAGTATTGTTGTTAGCTATTTCAACTAAGAAAGCTGAAGCACACAGAGGTTACAGAACTTGTCCAAGGTCACATGGCAATTATACAGTTGAATCTTGGTATGAACACAGGGAGCCTACACCTAGATCCTTATTTTTAACCAATTTTAGACAAAAGACAAGAGAATTTGGGGACAATTTAAGAGGAATTTTTAAAATAATTAATATGACATTTTAGCCAAAAGTAGTTTTCTAGTTCTAGATCATAATTCTCTAATTTTATGCACATGTGTAGATTTTCCCTACATGTGTGTGAAGAGAAAACAAACTTTGATAGGGAGAATATTGGTGGCAGTTTTAGTCTGGAAGCCACTTGCTGGCACTAGCTGAAGAATCCAGACAAATTCCCTCAGTTTAAAAACAAATTCAAATTTTCTTTGAAGGCAAATGGCTTTGAAGCTATACAAAAAGAACTTGCTCTGAAATAGTCAAGAATACCAGAAACAGCTAACAAAATGGGCATTATTCTTACAGAGAATGATTGATATGTTGCCAAAGCTTGAAGTAAACATTTGTTTTACTGGGTTGTTTTGAAGTAATCATTGCATGCAGATCAACAAAGCATTTCTGCCCAGGGAACCATTTTCTAGGAAAGACCCCTATACTCCTATGGCCTAGAAACTCCATAAGGGTGAGCATTAAAATGGCCTTTTGATACAGCACATTAAATCCTGGTGTAATATATTATGTGCCTGAAAACTTTAAGATCTTATCTTCCATTTAAGTTCCTCAAAATCATTTCTGATTAAATTGCCTGAATTGATAGCCCTCTTTAACCCTTAGTTTAAAACCAACCTCAGCAAAGCAAGAAATTATCAATATATCAACTAATGTGACATTAACATTAAATCACTTCATGTGAACAACTTTATAAGCTCTAGGTTAAAAAAAAAAAAAGGTACATATACATATATCCACACACACACAAGTCCATACCTTCAACTTGGAAAGACATCTTATTCTATGGGTTTCAATTCTTTTCTCAATTTCTGCCATGTTGCTCTTCTGAGTATTCCAAGGCCTTTAGGTTTTAAATCTTGATATTTCTTAGTTCTATCCTTTTAAGAAGACAAAAATCTATTAATGACAAAATCATAAATCGTCATTCTTTTGAGGGAAACACGGAATCTGAGTAACAATCAGAATCCATTGTATTACAAAAATACCTGAGAAGCTTTGATTCAGATCTAGAAGAAAATAATGACGTTAGAGAAGATTTAGTTTCTAATTTTCTATTGAGAAAGTTACATCAAATAACTTTAGTTACTCTTTAGTGAGATTAAAGATATTAGAATAATTTGCTATGGTCCCCTTGCAAAATAATGACCACGTGATTAAAACAAAGCTTTTCATTTCTTTAGCCAAACAAATAGAACCAAAGTGAGCTTTTTGGACTTACATGAAAATGCTGCTTTTAAGTATACAAAGACTTTGATTTGTGTTTGTGCTAAAAATCTGCTTCAGCAAGCCTACCAAGGCTCAAAAATCTCTATTTGGCCAGGCTCCCTCTTCAAGTTCTTTGCGTTCCAAGACTTCCCTGGAGTCTCAGGAAGGGAAACGTTTTCTGGGGCACTGCTGATTCAAGGAAACCTGGGGAGATATGGAATTTTAATCATGGAAATAGCCTAAGTAAAAATAACAAATAATTCTATGATCTGGAAAAGAACCCTACAGTTCCAAGTTAGAATGTGAGGTTTAGAAGAAGACCAAACATGTAAGTGCCTACACACATAATAAATATAGATATATGTATATTTACACACATATATATTAGTCACACATTTTTATATGTAAAACAAGATGAGTTAAACTCTATTAAATTCTACTAACCCCTTACAAAGATTTTGTCTGCTTGTGTCTTGAAACTAGGACATTATTTTGCACCAAAACCAAAGTGTTTCATTCTGACAGTATTTATTCTACTAAATCTACTTCAGGTTGCCAGAATGATACCTTAGTAGTATCCCCAGCATTAATATATTAAAATGCTCTGAACACTATCCATTTAACAGCTGATCTCAGTGACACTAATTTATAAAACCTAATTGCTTTCCCTCTATACATTTGCTGAATCCCACTTCCCTACATGCATTAAGGCAACAGCCACTGAACAATTATGTATGAGCTTAGTTCTCTTTACTCATCCTCTCACAGACATAACAAATATTTCTTGAAAGTCAGCTACGTACCAACCATAGGGCTAAGCACAAGCTTTTAGCAGTGAACAAGAAAGTAAGCTGTCTTATAGACAATATAAACAATGTAAAGGTGTAAGCCAGTGTGGAAAGCACTTGGACCCAGATCCCAAGGAACTTATATTTTTATTGAAAGAGGTAAAATTTTTAAATAAAACACCTTAGAATACAACTGAACAGTATATGACCAAATACAAATTGTCTGGTACCTACGTGGTGAAAACTTCATAGATCATATGTGAAAATTATTAAAGACAGTTTTGGTAAACTGAATAGCTTACAAATAAACTCATGCTGAAATCTCCCCCATGCCAAACCACCTTAATTATAGAGCAAGCACATGGCACTAATTTTGGAAAAACCAATAGATAAGGTTAATTTTTCAAAGGAATGGGAACTGCTAGTCTTCAGTCCTCATTTGTAATATATCTGCTTTTATCAGAAACCTCTCAAGTGTCCTCATTTATTCCTTCTCAGGATTTAGAATCCAGTCTTGCTCTTCTCTTTTTTTCCCTTCTGTTTTCCTTGCCAATATCTGAGCCCAATTATGGTCACCCAATCAAACAATAAGAGAGGAAGAAAACCTATTCCTCTTCCAGGTCAAAGTTAGCTTCACTCTTTTTAGTGGCTAAAGTCATGACTATTCTAAATGCCTATTTTTCCTATGCTGTGGCAACAGGACATAAAAGATGGAGATAGTAACACAGAAAATCCCACAAACAGGAATTCTCTAGTTCCTTCTCTGCATGATGATACTATGTGCCCATCTTGAGCAGTTTTTATCACCAGGACTCAAATATTTGTTCAAAATGTGTTTATTGTCTTGAGAGAAATTTTATAAACAGTTGTCTTGACTGGGGTAAGAGGTAGTGTTTGAAGCTAAGCACTTGAAGAAGTTAAATGTGATTGAATTAACACTAAGCATACCCTAAAACATTTCAGCTTTTCAGACACATTTTAAAAAATTTAATGGAGGAAATTAAATAAATGAATCAATTAAATTTATTTTCCTTATTATAAAAAAATTCATGAAACCCAATAGTTAATGTCACAATTACTGTTTAGTACTTTGGCTCCAAATCAGGGAATGCATGCGTTGTTTTTTCATACCCTCGTGGCCCTGCCAGTGCCAGTCATGTGAACAAACCCCTTTTGTTAGCACAGTGTTGTTTGTATGGTGACTTCTGCTCCTGGGACTGCAATGTCACCAACAAATCTCTATCAATCATCACTGTTAATGAAAACAACTTGCTCAAGTTTTATTAAGTGGAGAAACATTTTCTTTCTCTAACTCCTTCTCAGCATTCAAAAGGGGTCAAGTAATTCTTTAGTATGCATTCTTGCACAGATGTGTTTGAGTTTCTTGCATGTTTACTCATCAGAACCCTACTGGGGTTCTTTGTTTTTTAGCTGTGGTGAAAGCACATTATGGAATTGTTAACTAAGTGCATATTTGGGGTCATTGGACCTCTAGAGCTTTTCATCTTGCATGACTGAAACTCTATAACCATTGAAAAGCAACACCAGGTTTTTGGTACCCCTGGGTTGTCAGCCTTTAGTGATATGTCTCAATCACAGAAGAATATAATGTTTTACAAAATAAATGGTCTTGTTTGTGATTTTTTCCCAGTGTTAAGTATCTAGACTAGACATAGTTTTTTATTACTATAGAAATAGTTTTTATTACTATAAATCACTTGGGGGAAATACATATGTTTAATTTTACATTATTCTATATTATTGAATAAATAAAAATAAAGGCTTTCCTTTATTATGGCAAAACTGGGAAGAAGAAGACTTATCATCCTTCCCTTGGATGGATGTTTAAAAAAAAGAGAGGGCTGCACCAAAAAAAAAAAAATCTTATGAAAGTTATTCATTTCCAGAACCTTCAAATCTCTCCTAGCTCTGCAAGAAAAGAACAGCCTCTTGGTGGTATCCAGCTGAAATAATTTCAACCAATACCAAATCAACTAAGTGCAAGTAAGGCATGCGTAGAAGCAACAATAACTTTTCGTGTGATGACTTCCAAATATTTTTCTTCTATTAGTTAATTTACATCTGAAATCAAAAAACAAGATGATGGATTCTGCAACTCAACCTTACAAATATGATGTGGGAAACAGAGGCAGAAGAAAATCATTAAATTTCCCTACCTACTGAAAAGCCCTTGAAGCAGACAGAGTGGTTCTCCTCTAGGGACTCAACTGCCCTCACCTTGAGGCTTTGCTAAGGGCAAAAGGATAATCCTAGCCTGACTGACCCCTACCCCCAACTAGGATCCTGTAAGTCTAATTTAACTATTCCTTTATGTCACGGCCAGCGCAACAAATCAACCAGGAACGTGAGGGTAAGAGGATGAAGAAAAGAACTCGAGAAGCAGAGAGATGGGGGCAGGAGGAGCACCGAGGAGGATGTCCAACTGTGCTAAGTTTATTCAAAGCATTAAGGCCATATATATAGTGATATTACCATAGGAAAAGCAATACATCTGTGTCTAGTTAAACAACCACGAGTTCCCATAATAAGTTTCACAATTAACTATAAGCAGACCTTGTGACACCAAATGGCTGATGCTAGTACAATTGTTCTGTATTGATACAGCAAACCTGAAAGTAATTTATGAGCTGTACTAGGGCAGCAAGGACCAGCCACGAACTGATGATCCCAACCAAATTGTTCTCATTTGTTTAGCAAGCGTGTGGGAAGTCACGTAGGTGAGCGCACAACACATAGCACAGACCCTTTCTCAGTGCTACTCAACTTTTCCTGTCCTAAACCTTTTGTTAGGTTACTCGGACTTTAAAGGAGGCACAAGTCAGGGCCTGGTTTGGTCCTCGTATCAAGCCTTATTGCGGCCTCCCACACTTTTAGGAAACTTTATCTCTAAACCTCCAAGTGTGGAGGCCAAGAGAAACAAGGCTGTACCCATCTCGAGTCTAGCCCAATTTCCAGAGACAAATAACTCAGTTCCTTAAGCCCTGATGTCACCATCCCCTCCATAAACAAAACTGAAGGAGGCTGAGGTAGAAGGAAAAGTAAACAAAGTTAATTTTCTTCTAAACCCAGATCTCACTAACAAGGACGCTTGATAGCAAAAATGTGACATTCCACCACAAAACTCCCAATTATCTTCATGCTAGTGCCTCATTAAAGGGAAAATGGCCTTGGCTTGATAGTAACCAGGCCTTCAATATCCTGACCGTCTTCTTTACCCTGATAGCCCATCCGAACACCCCCTTTGTCCTCACCCACTGCCGAGTCCACCTCTACTCTGCTTTTAAAAACTCTGACTGTGGTCTGGCTCGAGGTCCAAGTCCCTACCCTGCTGCATCGGGTATACTTGGGCCCAAGCTTAAGCATGTCACCTCAGGGTCCAAGTCCCTACTCCATTGTGTCGGGTATACTTGGGCACAGGCTTAAGCTTGTCAAATAAATCCTCATTTATTGCATCAGTGCTTGGCTCCTGGGTGGTCTCTCGGACACAAAAGCTCGGGCATAACACCAAGATAGTGTCGACAATCATTCCCAAGCATATGACCCACTGATATACATCTAAAGGGTCTCACAAGAAGATTTGTATTACTGGTAATAAATAACCTTTCTCCCAAACAATAGCTAGCCCCTCAAGGTCCTGGACACCTTGCTTCCAAAATTCCTTAGAGACTTATGCCATCCCTAACCCCCTCCCAACTTACAAGTATATCCCTGGGGCAGCACCTCTTCCTGCCCACAGGTCCTGTCCCCGTGCTTTAATAAACCACCTTTTTGCACCAAAGATGTCTTAAGAATTCTTTCTTAGCAGTTGGCTCCAGACCTCGCCCCACTGAACCTCACCTAGATCCCAGAACTTCATCAAATATAGGCATTATTGTACTTCTTACATTCAGAGGAGGGACCAGGAATGCATAACTCCAGGCAAAAGTAGAGGAGAAACTTAAATGAGTCGTAGACTCATACATTGATTACACCATGCAAAGGAAAGGATGGAAGACACAAAAACACAAACACAAAAACCTCCAACAACAATCCAGCAATATGAACACCCACCTGTTACTTTGGATAACATACTGTATAACTCTAGATAACAGACCGAGATGTGGAAAAGTAAACCTGAAACCTGACTTCTAAATCTTTTGGGGAACTGATTATAAATATCATCAGTGTTATATCCCATGCCAAGTCAACCTAGCGAATGATTAGATAAAGCCATTGTTTTCCACACTTGCAATTTTTAAAAAAGATTGATTTATTTTGGAGAGAGAGCACAAAAACATGGGCAGGGGCAGGGGTGTGGGCATAGAGAGAGAATGTCAAGCAGACTCTCTGCTGAACTACTGAGCTCAGGGCCTCCCCCAGCTTGATCTCACAACCCTGAGATCATGATCTGAGCCA